ACATATTAGCCAGGCTGGTCTCAAACTCTTGACCTCAGGTAATCAGCCCACCTCAGCCTCCCAAAGTGCTGGGGTTACAGGTGTGAGCCACTGCACCCGGTCCACAATAAAACATTTTAAGCTGAAATCCAGTGGGTGAAAGCTAATTGATTAAGCAGATGTAGAAAGGCAGAATTCTGAGGTGGGAAGCAGATAATCTCATTGGGTCTCAGTTTACATCACAGAACCCCTGGAAGGTGCCAGCATTGGTAGTACCAAGTGCTGCCCCCAGAGTAGTGTGACAGTCAAGCTAGAATCAGGAGTTGCAAGTCTGTTTAAGAAGCAGTCAGATCCCCAAGTCTTCCACGTCCATGCAACTTATGCCTGCCCTCTGACTTCCAGCAAAAAACTAGAAGTTTATTTTCTGGAGAGAGTCAAACAGTCTTTAGGCTGGGAATGCAGGCACAGTTGAAAACATGTACATACAGCTGGGCACAGTGGCTCATGCCTGTAATCCCAGCACTTTGGGAGGCCAAGGTGGGTGGATTATGAGGTGAGGTGATTGAGACCAGCCTGGCCAAACCGCTCTCTACTAAAAATACAAAAATTAGCTGGGCATGGCGGCACGTGCCTGTAATCCCAGCTACTTGGGAGGCTGAGGCAGGAGAATCACTTGAACCAGGGAGTTGGAGGTTGTAGTGATCATGCCACTGCACTCAGTGCAGCCTCAGGATCATGCCACTGCACTCCAGCCTGGCGACAGAGCGAGACTCCATCTCAAACAAAGAAGAAAAGGAAACATGTACATACTATCATGAGGACCGCACTCTCTCCCTAGCTGCCTTCTTTCTCTCAGCTTCCAGAATTCTGGCAGTCAAGCCTTAGACTTTTTAGGCAGGAGATTGGAAGATTGTTTTGGGGGGAATCTGTTCAACCTAAGAGGAAAGAGCTAAAGGTTTGTCCAGTGAAACAGCTGCATAGGGTCATCTGGTAAAATAAAGCCCACAGTAGATAAACCCCAGGCATTCACCCAGAGGTTCCAGTCAACTTTTGGTGCTCCACTCTTGAATATGAGCTGATAACTAAAGGTCACCAAACTCCTCCAGGACGATGTTTTATTTCTTTTTATTTTTTTAATTTATTTAATTTAATTAATTAATTTATTTATTTTTGAGACGGAGTTTCGCTCTTGTTACTCAGGCTGGAGTGCAATGGCATGATCTCGGCTCACCGCAACCTCCGCCTCCTGGGTTCAGGCAATTCTCCTGCCTCAGCCTCCTGAGTAGCTGGGATTACAGGCACACGCCACCATGCCCAGCTAATTTTTTGTATTTTTAGTAGAGACGGGGTTTCACCATGTTGACCAGGATGGTCTCGATCTCTTGACCTTGTGATCCACCCGCCTCGGCCTCCCAAAGTGCTGGGATTACAGGCTTAAGCCACCGCGCCTGGCCTATTTATTTCTTTTTAAATGTTTTCATTGGATTTGGACTTCATTTTTTTTTTTTTAAGACAGAGTCTTGCTCTGTTGCCTAGGCTGGAGTACAGTGGTGCAATCTTGGCTCACTGCAGCCTCTGCCTCCCGGGTTTAAGCAATTCTCCTGCCTCAGCCTCCCAAGTAGCTGGGATTAGAGGTGCTCACCACCACGCCCAGCTAATTTTTGTATTGTTAGTAGAGACAGGTTTCACCATGTTGCCCAGGCTGGTTTTGAACTCCTGACCTCACGTTATCTTCCCACCTCAGCCTCCATAGTGCTGGGATTACAGGTGTGAGCCACTGCTCCCAGGTTGCCCTTTATTTTTATACCTAAGGACTACTTTACTGTTTCTCCATGTTCAGTACTTAGCTTTGGTTAGAAATTTGCCACGTTTTTCTTCATCTGTTTCTGAAGCATTAGGGTTTCACCTGCTTGGTGTAAGTTGCTTCTTAATTTTCTCCTTGTGGATATGTTTTGTGGACTCTGTTTTTTCTAAACTTCATTGCTCACATCCCACAACATTATCTTCCCATAATTCTGGCAGAAAGGAGACCTGGGATACTTCCGAAGTGTAGCCCTTAAATCCCAGTTCCTGCTCATACCCGACTCCCACCATGAAAGGAACCACTGGCTCACTGCAGCCTCTGCCTCCCAGGTTCAAGTGATTCTCTTGCCTCAGCCTCCCAAGTAGCTGGGATTACAGGCACCCACCACCATGGAAAAATAGAACCATCAGGAAGCAGCAAGTATTCAGTGAGAAGAATGCTTTAGGCACTTCAGAAAGATTGTCTTTTGTCTTCCTAGAGAGATAAGAAATGATATTACATTCAAGGTGCTATTAAGGAAACAAAAGAATAGAAAAGAGTACTTACAAAGAAAAAATAAGAATAGACAACTATTTAGAAGGGTTGAAAGATAAAGGAAATACTCTTTAAAAAAAGAAAAGTGAAATACAAAAATTAGGTGGAGTGGTGCACAGTTCCTCAGGAGATTAAGGTGATAGTATTGTTTGAGCTCAGGAGGTTGAGGCTGCAGTGAGTGGTGATCATGCCCCCTGTACTCCAGCCTGGGTGACAGGGTGAGAGCCTGTCTCAAAAACAAAACAAAACAAAAGCAGAAAATAAAAAAGATAAAATTAGAGGAACAGTCCAGGAAGTCCAACACTGAAAAAGAGGAGTTTCAGTAAAAGAAAGCAGAAGCATGGAGGGGAGGAAATAATGACCAAACAATACAATGAACTAGCAAAGAACTTAAGGAGATTAGTTTTTAGTTTGAAAGGACTGAGTGTCAGCCTGGGATGAAAATAGACACATGTAAGTCAGAAACCAAACTGAGGTCATAGAGAAGATCCTGAAAGCTTCTGGAAAAACAACGACAACAATAAACAATGGATAAAGAATCAGTATGATTAGCTGTGTGTGGTGGCGTGCACCTGTATCCCAGCTACTTGTGAGGCAGGGGTGGGAGGATCTCTTGAGCTCAGGAATTCGAGGTGACAGTGGGCTATGATCATGCCACCATACTCCAGCCTTGGTGACAAAGCGTAGACCCTGACTCAAAGAAAAAAAAAAAAGGCATCAATATGCTTGAACCTTTAACAGCAGCACTAAACTAGAAGACAACCAGATATTTCTTTAAAATCCTGAAGAAAGGCCGGCATGGTTGCTCACTCTTGTAATCCCAGCACTTTGGGAGGCTGAGGAAGGCAGATCATGAGGTCAGGAGTTCGAGACTAGCCTGCTCAGCATGGTAAAATCCCATCTCTACTAAAAAGGTGGAAGTTGCAGTGAGCTAAGATCATGCCACTGTACTCCAGGCTGGGCAACAGAGGGAGACTTCATCTCAAAATAAATAAATAAATAAATAAAAATTTAAAAAATTAAAATTCTGAAGAAAAATATATTCCCAACTTAAAATAAATCAAGTATAAGGGGAGGATAAATATTTTTCTATATATGTAAGGTTTCAAAAAATGTGTCTCTTGCTCTTCTTTTTAAAGCTGACAGTGGGTACATGCTACCCAAAACAAGGGAATATGTACAAAAAAGGAAGATGGGGATAGAGAATGCGGTTTTTCAAGACAAAGGCAAAAAGATCTCTAGGATGAGGATGAAGGGAGGTCCCAGGATGCTCGCTTTGCAGTAGTGTAGGGACCGCCACTCCCGCTTGGAGCAGGTTGGTGGGCTCTGGAAGGTACTCTCCAAGAAGACAAAACTGACGCCTCTGTATAACCGAGTGTGTTGAGAGAAGCCTTGGATTCAGATTTTCCAGTTGAATAGAAAGCCAAAAAAAAAGACCATAAGTTGCTGTAAAGGAAAAGTAAGCATGACTCTAGCTCATTTGTGAATGTTATTTACCTAAGGTAAATATGAATATTATACCAAATAATAGTATAATGATGTCAGGAAGATTAGGGACAAGATGTGTGTGAGATGAGGTCAGGATTGTGAAAGAGAACTTATTACTCATCTTCCATAATGAGAAATCTGTAGCTAATGCCTAAAAATGAAAATTCAAGCCATGACAGTGTGAGCATTCCCCATTGTCAAAAGAGCAGCTGAGAGTCTCAAATGTGGCTGCCTTAGGGGAGTAGAGAATGGCTGTGTCACCTGGTAGCAGGGGTGAGGGGTGTCATGGGACTGTCAGTAATAATTTAAGAAAGAGAGTTACTCTTGAAATTATGTTTTTGTGCAACTTTAGTAAAAATAAAAACATATTTAAAAAAAAAGTTCTGAACTTAGTATACTTGACTGGGCACAGTGGCTCACACCTGTAATCCCAGCACTTTAGGAGACCGAAGCTGGTGGATCACTTGAGGTCAGGAGTTTGAGACCAGCCTGACCAACATGGCAAAACCCTGTGTCTCCTAAAAATAGAAAAAGTAGCTGGGTGTGGTGGCACATGCCTGTAGTCCCAGCTACTTGGGAGGCTGAGGGAGGAGAATTGCTTAAAGCCAGGAGGTGGAGGTTGCAGTGAGCCGAGATCACGCCACTGCACTCCAGCCTGGGTGACAGAGTGAGACTGCATCTCAAAAATAAAATAAAATAAAATAGCTATGCTTAATACAGTATTTTAGGGGCCAGGCGTGGTGGCTCAAGCCTGTAATCCCGGCACTTTGGGAGGTCGAGGTGGGTAGAGCATGAGGTCAAAAGATCGAGACCATCCTGGTCAACATGGTGAAACCCCGTCTCTACTAAAAATACAAAAAATTAGCTGGGCATGGTGGCACGTGTCTGTAATCCCAGCTACTCAGGAGGCTGAGGCAGGAGAATTGCCTGAACCCAGGAGGCAGAGGTTGCGGTGAGCTGAGATCACGCCATTGCACTCTAGCTTGGGTAACAAGAGTGAAACTCCGTCTCAAAAAAAAAAAAAAATTTTATCAATTCTAAAAGCAGTTTTTTTTGTAATTTTTATATCACTGAAATTAGGATGCATCTTAAAATCTACATTGTCTTAGGTTTAATGAAATATGACGGGTCAAGATATTTGTATTGATTCTTATTTGTGGATGACATGAGTGTAACCTTTGTTGTTTTTTTTAAGATTGCAGGCCTAAGTCTACCTCTTCCTCCCAAAAAATTGATTGGTAACATGGATCGTGAATTCATAGCTGAGAGGCAGAAAGGTCTTCAGAACTATCTCAACGTGATCACCACAAATCATATATTGTCTAATTGTGAGCTGGTTAAGAAGTTTTTAGATCCAAACAATTATTCCGCAAACTACACTGGTAAGCGATGGAATCTGTGAGCTATGGTCACATGGCTAAAGAGGCCCTTGCTGTCCCTTGCTGGAGATAACATGTGGGAAAAACTCTTTCTCAAAATGGGGATGTGTACACATTTGTTATAGGGTATTATGAATTTACTAAGATTTTCTTGATTGTAGTTTACTGTAGATGTATAAGAAGAAAATAATTCCAAAATGTTTGTAAAGTCTGCACAGAAAAATATGGAGGACAAATTGTTGTATGTACTTACACTCTTGTCTTTATTGTCTTCCCTGACAGAACAGAGAGTAAATAATCCACAAAAGGCTGGGCGCCGTGGCTCTCGCCTGTAATCCCAGCACTTTGGGAGGCCGAGGCGGGTGGATCACCTGAAGTCAGCAGTTCAAGACCAGCCTGGCCAACATGGCGAAACCCCGTCTCTACTAAAAATACAAAAATTAGCCAGACGTGGTGGCACATGCCTGTAATCCCAGCTACTATAGGACTGAGGCAGGAGAATTGCTTGAACACGGGAGGTGGAGGTTGCAGTGAGCTGAGATAGTGCCACTGCACTCTAGCCTAGGCGACAGAATGAGACTCCAACTTAAAAAACATTTTCACACTAATGCATACAGTAATTTTTATATTAATTTTGACCTCTAATCAATATCTTAATTTGATTTGTATTTGGCTGTTTTTGTATGTACAATATGTTATATGTTTCTGTTTTTTTCTGGAAATTTAAACACAGCAGTGATTCAGAAGGATCCTTTCTATATCTTCCTATTTGCTTCCTGAGACCCACTCAGTGCAAAGCATAGGAGATTGTTCTCTTCCAAATCTTTTCTGGATCAGGGCAGCCGCCAAGCAACTATGGTGGAAAGGGCTTCTCTTCCAATACCAACCGCACTCAAAGCTGGCGTCAATAACCTTAGCCTGATGTGGGCAGAATGTGAAACTAAACATTTAATACATTCCGGTGTCACTTTGAAGAGAACAATAGAAACTATTGTTTCACCTGATTTGTTAAAGACAAACCATGCTTTAGAGACCAAGTGGAGCTATGGATATTGTTAATTTCCTTGCTAAGAGAATATATCGTATCAGATAATTGAGTCCTTAAAACATTGTTTTTGAAGTAGAGAGAGGCACTTTTATTCCTATTTCATTTTTATTTATTTATTCACACGCATTCATTTACCAAAATATTCCTATTTCAGAGAGGCAAAACAGACGTCTACTTGGCAGGCACCAAGTTTTCTCCATAGTAGAATCACCTGGGGAGCATTAAAAAATTCTCATGCCCAGGCTGCATGCATGCCGATTAAATCAGTCTCTGTGGGTGGAGCTTGTAGTCTGTAAAGCTTCCCGAGTGATTCTAATATGGAGCCAAGTTTGAAAACCACAGCCCTTGAGGCTTGTGACTCACAGTGTGGTTCTCTGACCAGCAGCATTGGCATCACTGGGAGCTTGTCGAAGGTGCAGAATTCAGTCCTCAACCAGGATTTGATTTTAACAAGGTCTGCAGGTGATTTGCATGCACATTAAAGCATAAGCCTTGATCTAGAATGTACCTACCATTTTCTAACCAAAGTGCTGTGCAGGGCTAAGGAAAATGCCATTCTAGAGTGTAACCAAGAGAAGGAAAGTTTATTTCAAACTCACACTTACTGTAAGTTACCAAATGGAGCATTGAGTTGTTACAAGAATTCCATTCTTCCCTCCACTTGCTTTTTTGTTCACATAAGAGAAAAGATAGCACAGATAGGACTGGGGCTCTAGGGACAGCTTGAATTCTGTCAAAGTAGCATCTTTTGTGGCTTTCATTTCTCAGTGTTTCACCTTGTTCCCCAAATTGTCAGACAGCAGGCCATCTGGATTGACTTGTCCAATCAGCCCTAACCCAGGCCCACTCAGTGGTTTATCTCCTGCAAGTGGTTCATTCCCTGCAAGTGGCTGCTAATGTTCTCCTAGGGGCAAGCATCAAGATGTAGTGCACGTGTAATGATGCCATTTGTTCAACAAATGTGATGTGTGCTGGGCAGTGGGGATGCAGGCACAAACACATGTGCTCCTTGCTCTCAGGGAGCTGGCACCAGAAGTACATTGAGTCTCATGGGATCAGAGATAAAAGGGATCTTAGAGCAGATGTGTCATGTATAAGTTCCCTCTCTTTTCATAAATGAGTTCAACTAAGGGCCCCAGAGAGGGAGGGCCCTACCCAAGATTGCACATTTGTGTGACTTTAGTCTGGTCTGAGTGTTTAAGTTAAATGCTGTGTAGCTCCTGGAAGGTTGTCTATTCTGACAGTTGCTGGTTCTCTGCTTTTTCTGTACCTCCCCGACATGCTGTTACTGTCTTTGATCTCCACCCCCGACCCCCACCCCCTGGCCTCCATCATGGTAGAGGGTCAGGAGTCCAAAGCAGATGTGGGCAGGGGTATAAAAAGACCACCAGAAACTTCTGCCAGAACCTGCAGTGGCCGCTATTCAGAAGGCACGATCCCATAAACAATAGGTGATGGATGCTGTTTTCAGAGAGATGGTGATTTATTTTCCCCTTTGAATGAAATGTCAGAATTTGTCTAGCCTTGAGGCCGACATACCAGCCACTTCAGGAAAGGGAGGCACAGGCCTCCACCTCCATGCCAGCTTGACAGGACCATTCCCAAGGTTCACAGCATGGCCCACAGTTCTCTGAGCACACCCTGCACACCTCCCACCTTGTGGCACTTCTCTAAGCAGGGCCACTTTTCCCCGGTTTATTTTTTGAGCAAAGCTCTCACTCTGTTGTCCAGGCTGGAGTGCAGTGGCACGATCTCAGCTCTGCACAGCCATGACCTTCTGGATTCAAGTGATCCTAGCACCCCAGCCTCACGAGTAGCTGGGATTACAGGTGCACAGCACCATGCTCAGCTGATTTTTAAATTGTTTGTAGAAAGGCAGTTTCACTGTGTTGCCTTGGCTGGTCTTGAACTCTGTGCTCAAATGATCTGCATGCCTTGGCCTCCCACAGTTTTGGGATTACAGGCGTGAGCCACTTCGCCTGGTCCACTGTTCCATTTAAATGTGGATAATGTCTCCACCTCTTCTTTTCCACATGGTTTTCAGTCATCATCCAGCTTCATTTCAGCAGGATTTGAGTTCTGTGTTCAAGTGGTGGCCAGAATCAGCAGAACACTTTTCCTATTCCTTGCTGTGACGGAGGGTGAGGGTGCCTTGTTGAAGGGGGACTGTGATGGCATTGTGTTCCCAGGGAACCAGGAGCTCTCAGGACATTGGCAGCTTCCTTCTCTCTTTCCTGAGTCCCCAGCCTGGGACTGCTGGGCCTTTCTTTCTTTTCCGGGTTTTCTCCAGAAGAGCCTATCCTCAAAAAGGAAATGTAGGTCCTTGGTCTACTGTGAGGTGTTCATTGGAATTAAAAAGTCTAATTGAGGACCAGCTGTTGTGCAGGGAAAACAGGTATCTCTTGGTCATGAGGAGTTTGTGTTGAGAATCTCTCTCACACACACATATACCCCTTACAGTATTCACCTTTTTAACAAAGTACTTCTGTCATTTAAAAGCCTCACTGCACTGTAGCCATCTTCCCGCCTCAATCCTCATACTCTCTTGAAGTAAGGGGATTTTAATTTCCAGGCAAGAGTCATTTGGACCAGAAATCGAGACCTGTATCCCTGTCCTAGCTTTGTCATTAGCAGTGTTTCTTCTCTGTGGGCCCACATCCTGACCTGTAAAACAAGAGGCTGGGGAGGGGGAATGGACCAGGGAGTGCTGAAGTTTCCTTTGAGGCCTAAAGCCCCAGGAATCCCTTGAATAGGTAGGATAGTAGTGGACTCCAGGATATAAAGAGGGAGGGAGACTGGAAAAAGGACTATGTTTAGAACGACAATAGGGTATTTGGTGAGGTTGCAGGCCTCTCTGCAGTGCAACCTGCTGTAGTGGTCTAGGGGTCTGGACCCCGGCTGTAGTTCTAGAGGAGTCAGTGTTTGTTCCCTGCAGTCACTCCATGGGGCTGGGATTGAGGAATTCAATGACTGCTCGCTGTGGTGGGGCCTGGAAGAACTGAGCTCTGTGGGAAGCGCAGAATGGGTTTGAAGGCTGTGCTCTCCATTTCCTGTCTCCAGCCTGTTTATCAGCACTTTCTGAGCATGCAGTTTTTCCACATGTGGCACTCAGTTCCTGTGTCAGAACTAGAGGGCAGATGCCTTCCTTCTCATGGATTTCATGTTCTAATGGGAGAGAGGTTCCACATATGCTAAACATGTATTGAACCCTTGGTAGCTGCTTCGTCAAATACTTACTGAGCTTCTACTCTGTGCCGGGTGCTATGTATACAGCAAGGAGGAAAGAATAATTCCCCTTCTTCCTACTCCAGGAAGTTACACAGGGAGATTGGCAGGTGATGGCTGTGGCAGAGTAAATGCTAGGCAGCACCTTGGGGAAGAGGGTGGAGGCATGGATGATCCACACCTAAAGATGAAGGAAGGCTTTCCAGAAGAGGTCAGTCCTACACAGAGACCTGAGGGGTGAGTAGGCATTAGCCAGGCTGAGAGGCAGTGGCCAATGCTCTGGGCAGAGCAGCTTGAGAAGATATATCCTGGCATTACCCAGATATACAGCCAGAGCATACAGTCTCTGTGGAATAGAGTAGCACTAAAATAGGACATTCAGTGCGTAATCCCGTAAGAGAGGGACACATATAGCACTGGGAGTGTACAGAGGAGAGAAAGAAGAAGGGAGGGAGAAAGTCCTGGCTAAGGGAGCAGAACATCTGGGCTGAGTCTGGGCCAGAGGAAAAACGCTGAGGAAGTGGGGCAGGCCAGTCTTTAGGGGCCATGGTAAGCAAATCTCAGAGTGCAGAGAGACCCCACACACTGTGGGAGATAAAGGCAGAAAGGTGGGTTAAATCCAGAGGTTGCTTGAACCCTAGATATATATAAGCTTGGTCTTGATTTGGCAAGGAAGTGGGGAACCAGTAAAGGCTTCTAAGCAGAGGAGTAGATGTTTAGGATTGAAATGTGTTGTCCAAGTCTGGGGAAGGAGGGGATTAATATTAGGCACATGATATTCATGCAGTTTATTTGACAGTAAATCACAGTTCAGTGGGAAGAAATTGTCCTTTCTCCAATTCCCTGACCCCTAAGTGAAAAAAGCTATTTCCCAGTCCTCAGTATCAGTAAGAAATCCAGTATGTTCCATTTATTCACAGCTATTTCCTCCATTCCTAAAACAAGGTATGGCACATAGTAGCATACAGTAAATATTGCCGAATAATGATTTTGTGGAGAGTTATATGTCACTGTTCGTCTTTTAGAATGACATTGTACACATTACAGAATTATTTTTCATGCTCCTTTGTAAAGTTGATGTGAATGATTTTCACTTTATTTCCTTTTAAGTTTCTTTATGTTCAAGTTACTTTGGAAATACTAAAACCACTTTATATTAACATGAATTATAAACAAGGTACAAGGTTCCCAGTGTTGATAATGGAAGTCTGTGTGTTTCTCCTGCACGCAGCTCTTCCAGATGGTTTGTCACACACTGGGATAGTTAGAACAAATGTGAATGGAGTCAGTTTTGTATTTGGTCATCACATGTTTTCTTCTGAGTAGATGCCATTGACACTTTACATATTGAGTCAGTAAACAAATAGCTAGTAAATTGTTTTCTTCCCTGAATCTCTTAACTCAAAATGTACTATAACATATATCCAAATGATGTTGTTTGCCAAGCTCTTGACATGTGAATTCCAAACAAGGTCATTTTGACATATGGAGAGCATTTCTGCTGAATCCCTCATGCTTCACCAGTCTGCCTGGAATGTAATTAATGCTAGGCAGAAGTGAAATTCCACAGTGCATTTGGAGGATTGCTGTTTGCCGTCAAGGATCTGGAGTGGCTTCATTTACTCACTTCAGTAAGGGGAAATAGCAAATTATAGATGTTGCTTTTTACAGGAAATGTAAAGCACAGCTATTTTGATAATTTCTTAATGCAGTGAACTTTAAAGAACTTCCTTTTCTCATTGTCTTCTTAAAAGGGGGAAACATTTTCATGATAAATGAACACAAAAAGAAAGTCACCGAGTGCCTGTTTTTCCCCTGGTAAACAGGCACTCGGTGACTTTCCACAATAGAACCATGTTGTTGCTGTACACTGGCTTTTACTTCTAGTATGTATTTAAGGGTAATCACTTTTTTTGTTGATGAAAGCTGTAATTCCAGATGGGATAAATAGTACCTGGAACAACATTAAATGCTGTCCCAAGCTGACCTTAGAACATGTTTTGAGTTTTGGGCTTGGGTTGTGGTCTGGTACATACATTGAATTCTTGGCTTAAACCAGCTAGATTACATATTTTAGATTTTCCAGTTTTGAAATATATGCATTTTCCCATTATCAATAACTTTTAAAATAAACTTTACATTTTGGAATAATCTTAGATTTACATAGAAATTGCAGTGGGCTGGGTACAGTGGTTCATGCTGTATTCCCAGCACTTTGGGAGGTCGAGATGGGCGGCTCTCTTGAGCCCAAGAATTTGAGACCAGTCTGTACCTCATCTCTAAAAAACGAAAACAAAAACAAAAACACACACCAGAAATTAGCCAGGGCTAGTGGTGCATGCTTGTAGTCCCAACTATTCGGGAGGCTGAGGTGGAAGGATCACTTAAGCCCTAGAGGTTGAGGTTGCAGTGAGCCGTGATTGTGCCACTGCATTCCAACCTGGGCAGCAGAGTGAGACCCTTTCTCACTCTGTTGAGAACAAAACAAAGAAGTAAACAAAAGAAGTTGCAGTGATAGTACAGAAAATTTCCATATGCTTCTCACCCAGTCTCTCCTAATTTTTATTTATTTATTTTTTTGAGATGGAGTCTTGCTTCATTGCCAGGCTGGAATGCAGTGGCAGGATCTCAGCTCACTGAAACCTCTGCCTCCCGAGTTCAAGTGATTCTCCTGCCTCAGCCTCCCGAATAGCTGGCACTACAGGTGCACACCACCATGCCCAGCTAATTTTTGTGCTTTTAGTAGAGACAAGGTTTCACCATGTTGGCCAGGATGGTCTCCATCTCTTGACCTCATGATCCGCCTGCCTCAACCTCCCAAAGTGCTGGGATTACAGGTGTGAGCTACCACACCCAGCCTCTCCTAACATTAATATCTTATATAACCGTGGTACATTTATCAAAGCTAGAAATGAATATTAACTTTTAATAAAGTTAAAAGTTCTTAACTTTTAATACTTAATGAACCTTGGTTAAAGCCCCATCAAAGGATTTGGATGGTAATAACTTTCAGAACCACCATTCCTTCTTCATCTGTCTTTTTCACTAAATCTAAACTGAAGTGCTATTTTCCTACTATTCCTGTGAATAATTTCTTTATTTACCCTTTCTCTTTAAGTTACACTTTTAAGTTAATGTTACATTAACTACGGGCTTTATTCAGATTTTACCACTTTTTCTGCTAATGTACTTTTTCTATTCCATGGTTCAATCTGGAATCCCACATTGCATTTAGTTTGTGTTGTTTTCTTCTTTCTTTTTATTTTTTTGGTAAGGAAGATTTTTAAAAAGGTCATACAAGAATAGCATCTTCAGCATATTGCCCTTTGCTGATATGTCTGACTAATGAGTTTCTAAAATGTCTTTGCAGAGATTGCCTTACAACAGGTTTCCATGTTCTTCCGATCAGAACCAAAGTGGGAGGTGGTGGAACCTTTGAAAGACATAGGTGAGACACTGGCATGCTCATTCTCTTAAAAAGACAGATCACAGAACTGGATCCTTAGTCATGCTTTCTGATTCCTATCCCAAAAACATACTTAAATGCAGGTGACTTCTTTCTCTTTTTGCTTCGTGACTGCTTGAGAATACAGTTCTTAACTTTTAATACTTAATGAACCTTGGTTAAAGCCCCATCAGAGAATTTGGATGGTATTAACTTGCAGAACCACCATTCCTTCTTCATCTGTCTTTTTCACCAAATCTAAATTGAAGTGCTATTTTCCTGCTACTTCTGGGAATAATTTCTTTATTTATATTTACTCTTTCTTTTTAAGTACACCCTTTACTCTGTCAACGTCATCAAATGGTTCTTTTGTTTTTGCCTATGTAGCCGCAAATAATATTGCCAAACTTAATTTTTCTTGATTATTTAGTCACTGAAACATATCAATTGTTGCAAAAATTATGCAGCTCTAAGCACATTTTTTGCTTTTATGGCAGGTTGGAGAATAAGGAAGAAGTATTTCTTGATGAAGATTAAAAATCAGCCAAAGGAACGGCTAGTGTTAAGCTGGGTAAGCTAGCTTTTTGCTTTGGTGTCCTTTCAGTGACTTTAGATGGTTAATGAAAGGAGATTTGACAAGAGAATTATAAAATTGTACTGTGCTCTTAAGCGATGATATAAAGGCTTCCTTAGTCCATTTAAAAGAATAGTCATTGTAAGTCATTTTCCTGTGCATTTGGTCATGTAAATGCAATTCTATTTGGTCAACTAGTAAACATTTGAAAAGAAATAGGAGCAGATTAAAATAACTCTGAAATCTATTTAGGGTTTACAGTTTTGGAGAATACTTCCAAAAAAAAAAAAAATACTTGGGCATTGCTTTATCTCTTTGAGAGTTTTAGTTATACATTTGGTTAATGGAATTAGATAAGATTACAGTTAAGTTGTTTTTTTTTTTTAACGGAGTTTCATTCTGTCGCCCAGGCTGGAGGGGAGTGCAGTGGCGTGATCTTGGCTCATTGCAGCCTTCGCCTTTCAGGTTCAAGTGATTCTCCTGTCTCAGCCTCCCAAGTAGCTGGAATTACATGGGCTTGCCACTATGCCCAGCTAACTTCTTTGTATTTTTAGTAGAGATGGGGTTTCACCATGTTGGTTGGGCTGGTCTTGAAGACCTCAGGTGATCCACCCGCCTCGGCCTCCCAAAGTGTTAAGATTACAGGCATGAGCCACCTTGACCGACAAGTCTGGTATTTTTACACACTGCTTCTCCAGAAAGGTCTTGAGGCAGCTAGATTTAGTGTGATTTTCATCTTTGGTTTCCAGTCATATATTGGGCCAAATAAAATTAAAGGAATTGTTCTTTTGGTGACCAAAGCAGTACCCTGATATTCCCATCCATGTTTTCAGGCTGACCTTGGCCCGGACAAGTATTTGTCAGATAAAGATTTTCAGTGTCTAATCAAACTTCTGCCTTCCTGTTTGGTGAGTATATATCTTTCTATTATTCTCAGTGCTGATGACAGAGTCACAGTGTTTTTTTGTGGGTGAACATGGACAGAAGAGCTGAAAAAGAGAATGGGGAGGTCCAGTGGATTTCAGTTAAGACTGAAATTGTGTAGGGCCAAGCACATAGATCGTAGGCCATTTGAAATAGCATTTATGACATCTGCACAACCCATGAAACATGGTCATTTAAATATAGACTTTGTATTTTAAATAAAGATCAGAGTGGAGAAGCAGCCACTTCTCTCAGCCTCTTGTTCTTGGCGAGGGTTTTTATATCAGTGGAACTGTAAGATACTCTTTCCAGCTTGAGAAAACAGAACTAATAAGGATTTAGATAAGCTGGGTCAAGAAAAGGCAAAATAGCCTTTTTTCTCTCTGAGTTACTGCCCTCACAGGCCAACCAGATTACCTTTAGGAGTACATGGTATTATTTATGCTACTACACAGCTCTAATCTAGGGCCTTCAGTGCAAAGAACCACATAGATATATTTCAAAATATGTGCAGAATGTCTTCAGCAAAGACTAATCTGGCCAGAAAATTGAGTTAACATTGACATTCTTTATCTTGTCTGCATGAAGATGTCACTGGAATGAGTCACTAGTGAACTGAACCCAATTATGCTGATTTGTGCACTTGGCTTGGCAAGTTTGTTTTTGCCCATATAGTGTCTTGTCAAACTGGCAAAACCAAGCTATTAATGAGGTGCAATCTGAGGCCAAAAAGACGCTTTGGTCTTAAAGCTTGATTGGTTGTGTGATACAGGCTGTCAGAACCCAGTTTTAAATTTCCCTTTTTTTTTTTTTTTCAAAATGGAGTCTCACTCTGTCACGCAGGCTGGAGTACAGTGGCATGATCTTGGCTCACTGAACCTCCACCTCCTGGGTTCAAGCAATTCTCCTGCCTCAGCCTCCTGAATAGCTGGGATTACAGGAGGGTACCACTACACCTGGCTAATTTTTATATTTTTAGTAGACACTGGGTTTTACCATGTTGGTCAAGCTGGTCTCAAACTCCTGGCCTTGCAATCCACCTGCCTTGGCCTCCAAAGTGCTGGGATTACAGGCATAAGCCACCTCACCAGCCCTAAATTTCTTTTAATAGATGTGCTTCTTTAAAAAAAGATCGCACATATAAATGGTGCATATTAGTTGTAGCAAAGTCAGAAGACAGATAAGCAAACATAAGGAAATAAAACTCACCTGTAATCCCAATCAACCAGAAGTATAGTGAACCAAAATGTTCAGTTGTTACTTTTTAAGAATTTTTGTGATTAAAAAGAGAAATTTTATTTATAAAATATTTATAATTTATATTTACAAATTAATTTTAAAAATCAAGTTTTAAGATCCTATATATAATTCATAAATATACTTATATATTTATATAAATTATATATATAGTGTCTTAAAACCTAATTTTTTTTCATTATTGGTGTACCATGAGCATCTTTAGTTGTCAGTAAATGCAGTATAGCATCATTATCTTGGGCTGTATACAATTAAAGTTGGCTATACCTTAGTTTACTCAATCTTCTGTTGACATTTAGATCAACTCCAGCTTTTTGCTCTTATTTTTTTAAAAAGAAAAAAGCCATAGTGAACAATTTTTGCTAAACATTATACCCATCCTTAATTTCTTAAGATAAATACCTATAATTCATCGGGAGGCTACATATTCTGTTCTTTATCAGGCCCAGTAGCATTTTAGCATTTAATGTGATTTTTTTTGTTTGTTTGTTTTTTTGTTTGTTTGAGATGGAGCCTCTATCTGTCACCCAGGCTGGAGTGCAGTGGTGTGATCTCAGTTCACTGAACCTCTGCCTCCTGGGTTCAAGTGATTCTCCTGCCTCAGCCTCCTTAGTAGCTGGGACTACAGGTACATGCCACCACACTCAGGTCATTTTTGTATTTTTAGTATAGACTAGGTTTCACCATGTTGGCCATGATAGTCTCGATCTCTTGACCTCAGGTGATCTGCCAGCCTTGGCCTCCCAAAGTGCTGGGATTACAGGGTGAGTCACACTGTGCCTGGTCTAATGTGATTTTCTAACTCTATTATTCCTTCTGTATTTATTTGTTAGTTGGCATTCTACCCTAAAGAGCTTCTCTTCTCCCTTTAAAAAAAATTTATATGAGTATGTACTCAATATACTTTTATTCTACCTTGGCCCGGACAAGTATTGGGTGTTGAAAATATTCTATAATTAGATTGTATAATGGTTGTATGACTGTGAATATGTTGAAAATCATTGAATTGTACCGTTTAAATGGGTGAATAGTAATGGCATGTGAGTTATATCTCAATAAAGCTATTAAAAAGTCAGCTCAGGAGAACTTCATGATCAATTACTATATTTTCCTGAGTACACCTTTCCACCCCACCAACCTACTCATGCCAGCCTCAAAATTCCTGCATAGCTCAGCTCCCATGGGTTTAAATTTTCATGATACTCCTTTGAGCTAATGAGCATTGGAATACCTGTCTGGAACCAGTTCGTTTCATGTAACCAGAATTCCAGGGAAAAAGAGCACTTTCCTTTCACTCATTAAATAATTTGTCTTTTTTCCACCCCAATTGGTTAATGTCAGTGTCCCCATCTGAGGAGGACACTGTGAATCATTATACTGCAGACTTCTGTAGAAGAGTAGGAAGATTCATGCTAGCTCCTGTGGAAAAGGGCTGAGATTCCAGAAGATGGTACTTTTGCCTGTTTTCTGGCTGTTATGCTTCTTGGCTTGGCACCTAAACAGCAGTGCAGAATGTTAGGGTAAGCTGTGAGCAAAGACACATTATCCTAGTCCCCACTTGGCCGTTCTGAGATTTGGCTGTGTTCTTTACTGTCTTACAGAGACTGGATATTAACACCATTATCCTCCAAACTTGGACATTTTCTCTCTTCCACCACACTTCTGCCTGAGCTAAGAGAGTACACACACTGAAGAGGACCCTTCACTTGTAGAGTTTACCATATCCATCACCTGTTTCCTGTTTTCTTTTGTTCCTGCAGTTTATGTCCCTTCTCCATCTGAAGAAGGAGGGACTAGCTGGTCATTGAATAACTAGCTGGTCATTGAAAATGCCATGTGTTCAGGGAATATGACCACATTCGTATGCAACTAAACCACCACAGTGGTACTTGACTCTGCATAACCAGATCCTGATTAAATGGACCTAGATCCTGATGCAAATCAATGGGAATGTCTTTTTTTGTTTTGACAGCACCCTTACATCTATCGGGTTACCTTTGCCACAGCTAATGAATCCTCAACGTTGCTAATTAGGATGTTTAACGAAAAGGGAACTTTGAAGGATCTGATCTACAAGGTACTTGTGCAAGCCCATGGTCATAAGGAAGTTCTCAGGTTCCTTTAGAATGTATTATTGATACTTAGTCTCTAAGACTATAGAGGCTAGGCCCTGAGGATTTGATGTTAGTTTTGATGTTATTTGGAATTTATTTTTACTCATGCAGTAAGAACTCAGTTTGACTAAAGAGCATTCCTATTCCCACATGAGGAAAGGTTGAACGTTTAATAATTATGTCCATTACATTGCAAGCTGCTCTCTTAGGTCAGTTTTTAAAGTTTGTGTTTTGCACTTAACAAAGCAGTACTGAAGATTCGAACAATATACAAGACTTTGGGGTCTGCTAAGGGAAAGACCAGGCACATCTTCACTGGGCTAGAGAACGGATGGAACCTGGGTCAGCCACTTTCTTCTATCAACTACACAGACTGTTGTATTTTAAAAACTCACATCCTGCAGCTGGCCATCTCTGGCGCCCCTAGCCTCTGTAGAATCCTGCCTGGTCACGGAGTCTGTGTGCAGATGTTGGCCCCACTGCTGCTTTCTTATGTGTTCTGTGTTCTTTTCCAAAGGCAAAACCGAAAGACCCATTTCTAAAGAAGTACTGCAACCCTAAGAAGATTCAGGGCCTGGAACTCCAGCAAATAAAGACATATGGACGGCAAATATTAGAGGTAAGAAATACTTTAGTTTAAGTTGCATTCAGATGTCATCCAAAATTGCATTATTCATCTGGAAAACTTCTTAAGTACTATCCAAAATCACTTAAGTTGTCTGATTGCTTATAAACTGATTGCAGTGTCATATTTTGCCACGACAAGCAATATTTGAGGCTAAGGCAACAGTCACTTGGGTCTACAAAATTCTTAAAGCTTTAGCTCTTGCAATTTAGTGTCTGAGTTTTAAGAACTTTACTGTGTGGACACCAACTTTTATATTATCTTTGGTTGCTCTTTATCCCTGTGCCAAGATTTTTGATTTTGTTATGTCATATACATAACCGTATGGCTCCCTTACAAAGGTATAACCAGAAGTGAAAAGCCCTTCTTACATTACCCTCTAGACCAGTATTCTCCAGGCTTCTGGGATTATGCAACCCTATCAGTAATAAGTAATTTAATATTCCAATGTTATGGCTGTTTAACTATAAATTATATATGTAATACACACATACATATATATGTATACATATCACATACATATATATGTATACATATATATGTATGTGTGTATATATATATTTTACTTTTTTTGATGGAGGCAGCATACTAGTAATATATTTCGTATAAGTTAAAAAAGAATAATATTTTTAAAAAACAACAACTAGGAAGAGAAGTTGTAATATTTTCTTCCAGCCCTTAGTGAATTGCTCTGGGCACGCCACTTGGCTATCACTGCTCTAGCTCACGAGGGCATTGCAGGGCTATATCTAAGCATCTCGATTACTGGGTAAGCCACTGATTATTTACATGGCAGCTGAAAGATTTGCTTCTTTTTCTGGGTGCCTGTTGTGTGTTCTTATTAATAAACAGCTAGATATATTTGGAGGAGAGACTGAACTAGAGATGTTTTCTAGTTCAACCTCTTTTTCTGAATTACTGGCAAAATCACCGATATGATAGCTTCACTCATCTATGCAGGAGGATCAAGACTTTGTCCTGAAGAGAGCTGGCCTACTGGAATCAGAAAGGGCTTAAAGCAGAGCCTTTTGGCATTGGAGTTATTAATTCCAAGCATATGCAGCCTGCTTCTCTATCCTTTTGGGGAAAGAAAGAACTGGTGTTGTATCTCATAGCCTCAAAGCTGGAAAGCATTCAGTTTCACTCCCTTTTCCAAACAAATGGGGAGAGGTGGCATTTTTCTTTAGGAATCTCTCCAGTGACCTGTTTGGTTTTGTTTCAAAATATATTGATGTAAAAACAAAGTTTAACTTGTCTTATAGCTGAATGAGTTGGGGAAAATGTAACTTACCTATATGCTTTAATAGGTACTGAAGTTTCTTCATGACAAGGGATTCCCTTATGGGCATCTTCATGCCTCCAATGTGATGCTCGATGGGGACACTTGCCGGCTGCTAGACCTTGAGAATTCCTTATTGGGCCTGCCTTCCTTCTACCGATCTTATTTTTCACAATTCAGAAAAATCAATGTAAGTTGCTAAAGTAATAAAGTAGCAGGCTCATTTTTAGGTATCAGGTATCCCATGATCTGCTCATGTAGGAAATATGTACCAAGGTACAGTTGGGGCAGTCCTTGCCTATCAGCCCCATTTGTCCCTTGGAGCATTGCTGTATCTCCAGGAGGCTGAGTTGAAATGGCTGGTGGGGTAAGGAGTGAGGTAGAGTGACTGATTGGAAAACTGTAGAGGGTCAGACCGAGACCTTTGGGATACCTCATGAGGTTTCACAAAAGGCTCTGGAGTTGCATTTACACTACCAGTTAGGAGCGAGGCTATCGCTGGGCTTAGTTTCTCAGAGGAGGCTTGGGGCAGGAGCGTGTGGTCCGTAAAGCCAAAGTGAAGGGTGAACACGCTGCTGCTCTCTTTCTTCCACAGACATTGGAAAGTGTGGATGTCCACTGCTTTGGCCACTTACTGTATGAAATGACTTATGGACGACCGCCAGATTCGGTGCCTGTGGACTCCTTCCCTCCGGCCCCGTCCATGGCTGTGGGTCAGTATGGGGTTGGGAAGGGTCTTCTGGGACCTGGCAGTATGCAGAGCCACTCATCCCCTTTCCAGAGTCCAGGAAAGACCCAGAGGAAGTTGCTGTCCTCTATAGCCAGAAATTCTTACCCAATTTAAAAGCAGATAGATAAAATTTGAGTAGTTTACTTCAGTGAAAATTCAGGTGGCTTGTCCATTTGTCAGCCTATCTGAAGTTTCTGGGAACTTTTTGTAAAATGCTTTAGAATTTTGGAAGCAGGAGGATGAAAAGAGAAGTATGGTCTGCATGAGTGTGATGCAGAAGCCAGAGCCAGGCAATGTAAAGCCAGTCTGGAGGGGACTCAGGCAGGCATCAGAAGTCAGATCAAGGCTGGAGTGAGACTTGTAAGAAACCAGAGAGGCCAGACACAGTGGCTCATGCCTGTAATCCCAGCACTTTGAGAGGCCGAGGTAGGTGGATCATATGAGGTCAGGAGTTCAAGACCCACCTGGCCAACATAATGAAACTCTGTCTCTACTAAAAATTCAAAAAATAGCAGGGGTGTGGAGGTGCATGCCTGTAATCCCAGCTTTCTGGTGGCTGAGGCACGAGAATTGCTTGAACCTGCCTCTTGGGAGGTGGAGGTTGCAGTGAGTGGAGATAGCGCCACTACAGTCCAGCCTGGGCGACAGAGTGAGACTCTGCCTCAAAAAAAAAAATAGAAGAAGAAACAAGAAAGCCAAAGCCATAGGCCGAAAACCTAGTAGATAAGAGCGTAGCAGGCCCAGACCTAGGGCAGACAGGCGGGAATGCAGACACCCAGACAAATTGGATCTGGGAGCTCTTACAGAATTACCTGAGGGGGCTGAGGCGAGCTGGAGGACAAGTGAGAGCACCTTTAGGAAGAAGGGATGCAGGAACTAGTGCAGACCATCCAGGACCCTTTCATCCCCTCCACAGCTAGGCCAGAACTCATGGCTGGAGGAGAGAGGAGAGGGCAGGGTAGCTCTTGGACCCCTGTGCCTTGGAGATATGTAAGTCTACCCTTCACCAAGTGTATTACATGAGACAATTCAGGAGAACAGGCCTGGGACTATATATTTTGTTGAATGTGAACCACTGACACTGAACAGCGACCTATGGGTAGAAAAATCTGGCTGCTCCTGTTAGTAGCATCCAAGGTGTTGGTTGATGAGATATCAACAATTGGCATTTTGTGCACTGGTTTTGATGAAAAGCAGGCAAGCAGCAAAATGTCTTTCAAGTTCAGAATTTTACTTCTGTGTAGTGTTTACTTCTCTTTCAAGAGAACAAACACTTTTATGAATGATATCTTGAATCCTTCCTCCAATTATCTTTGAAATATATTTAGCTTTCTGTCAGCATGTAGTTTCTAAACCATTTCTTTTGAGTCATTGGTAATGCCAGTGTTGCCAGCATTCCCCTACCCCACGTATGCCATCTGTCTGTGTGTGAAGAGTTTTGACACTGTCCTAATCAGCCCGCAGACAGTTATTGCAAAGTGGTGTCAAACTTTTCATCAGCAAGTGGATTTGCCAGCGTGTTCTGTGGAACTAAAATGTGTATCTGTTCATTTCAAGTGGCCGTGTTGGAGTCTACGCTGTCTTGTGAAGCCTGTAAAAACGGCATGCCTACCGTCTCCCGGCTCTTACAGATGCCGTAAGTCAATCATATGCGTTGGTTGTAATCTTGATAACCATGTTGAACACCAGACCACTGTGTCCAAGCACCTGATACTGTAGTGAAGACTCTTGCGATCCCTGCAGAGTTGGCCTGGCTGGCTTGCTGATGGCCACCCGTAGCATGATGTCCTGACCTTTTGTTTGTAACCTCGCTGCTGTCTTGATCTGATGGCTGTGTCATTTCATGTGTGTCTCCTCATTCAACGTTAGCATTGTGTGTACGTACGTTAGCATTGGGTATGTGTATGTGTTGCAGCCCCCAGCTAGGAAGCACTGAAGGAGGGCCCTCTCAAGTGGCTCTTTTCTGACCCTGCATCAGCAAACCAGTTGGCCCCCAGCTGTACATAGTTCACAAGTCACAGGGCCTTGAAGGAGGAAGGCAACTTGTTTCTGGGCCCCCATGTTTTGCTTGTGAATTTACTCACGGGGTATTGTTTATTAAACTGTAGCATGTACCAGGCACTGAGCTAGGGTCTTGAAGCTCAGAAGACATTTTCTCTGAAACTGGGTTATGAATAGATAACCAGGACAACTGAAACAGTGCTGTGGGGCCTTTCCTTCAGGTGCATTTTCTGTTCCTTCGTGGAAAGTCAGCAGAGTGGTTAAGAAGGGTTTGCCTGGGGTCAGACAGACCTGTGGGTGGATCCCAGCTTCACCACTTCTTCCTGGATGACCTTGGACAAGTTTCCTAACCTCTGGAAGTAGAGTTTTGTGAACTGTGAAATGGGAAAGGTAATAACAGTTCCTACGTCAGAAGACAGTTGGGAGGATTTAATAAGGCAATTCCTAGTAGGGACCAGGCGCTTAATAAGCGCTCATTAAATATTAGTTATGCTTTCTATTGAATCAGCTGACCTTTTTTGATCATCATACACCATGCTGTATATCTGGTGCTTTGTCTGCACCAGCTTATTGTATAACAGAGATACACTAGAAACAATATGGAAAAGCAAGGTAGGGGATGGCTTGAAGTGCACAGAGCCAGAGTACAGAGAGGTAGAGATAACTTCAAGTTCCTGGTTCATTATTTCCACAAGTGCTTATAAAGGGCCTTCTGGAGGCCAGCTGCTGTCCTAGGCATTGTGATGAACAAAGGAAACTAAGCCCCTGCCCCGTGGATGTGACATTCTAATGATCCACAGACACTGAAGTGTCTGTTGCCATACCAACAACCATTAATAATAATATGGACTGGGCGGTGGCTCATGCCTATAATCCCAGCACTTTGGGAGGCTGAGGTGGGTGGATCACTTGAGGTCAAGAGTTCAAGACCACCCTGGCCAATGTGGGGAAACCCTGTGTCTATTAAGAAAATATAAAGAATTAGCAGGTGTGGTGGCACACTCCTGTAATCCCAGCTACTTAGGTAACTGAGGCAGAAGAATCACTTGAACCCAGGAGGTAGAGGTTGCAGTGAGCCAAGATCTCACCACTGCATTACAGCCTGGGTGACAGAGCAAGACTCCGTCTCAAAACTAAACAATGTGCATATGGAAAAATAGACCCAGTTTGGAAAACAACTTTCACACAACCTTTTCTAGCAAAATGCACTTGTACTTAGGAAATAGCCTGTGTGCAGGTTGATTTACTTGAATTTGCATTTACACTCCCCATTCCAAAGCTCTCACATCTTTCTCTCAGTCAAGTCTTTCTACCCCGTGGGCTTCAGCCTTGAGAAGAGTACTTGGACAGGTGTGAACCATATTCAATTAAAACGTGTCCTCTGGAAGTAAACATGTGTGACTGAGGGACAGACAGGGCCCTGAGGAGCCCTGTGGGAAAAGCTAATCCTGTCATTTCTACTTGTGATGAAGTTCCTGTCTTTAAAAAAAGAGTAATATAGCTGGGCACAGTGGCTCACATGTGTAATCCCAGCAGTTTCAGGGGCTGAGGTGGGCGGATCACTTGAGCTCAGGGATTCAAGACCAGCCTATCTATCCAACATGACAAAATCTCGTTTCTACAAAAATTACAACAAAAAAATTAGCTAGGCCTGGTGGTGTGCACCATGTAATAATCCCAGCAACTCAGAAGGCTGTGGTGGCAGAATCACTTGAGCCTGGGAATTTGAGGTTGCAGTGAACCTTGAGCATGCCACTGCACTCCAGCATAGATGACAGTGAGACTTTGTTTCAAAAATAAAACAAAGTGGCGGTGCAGGATATTCAGCCAGGCATAGTTGTACATGCTTGCAGTTCCAGCTACTCAGGAGGCCAAGATGAGAGGATCGATTGAGCCCAGAACTTCCAGGGCAACCTGGACACCATAATGAGACTCCATCTTTTTAAAAAAGTAGCGGAGGGGCAGGAGGCATATTAAGGAAATACTTAGAGCTGTTTGGGTGCTACCCACTGACCTGTTTTAGCCAGCAGTTCAGAATTGTTCATACTATTATTTTTCCTCCCTCCCTTCCTTTCTTTCTTCCTTTTCTTTTCTCTTCTTTTCTTTCTTTTTGAGACGGTCTTGCTGTGTTACGCAGGCTGGTTTTGAACTCCTGAGCTCAAAGGATCCTCTCACTGCTAGCTCTGGAGTAGCTGGGACTATAGGCTTGTGCCACTGTGCCCAGTTCATGCTACTGTTTTTCTCTTCTCTTCACTTCTCTCTTCTCTTCTTTCTCTTTCTTTTCAAGATAGAATCTTGCTCTGTCACCCAGGTGGAGTATAGTGGTGCAGTCTCGACAACCTCCGCCTTCTGGGTTCAAGTGATTCTCCTGCCTCTGCCTCCTGAGTAGCTGGGAGTACAGGTGCTTACCACTATGCCCAGCCAGTTTTTGTGTTTTTAGTAGAGACAGGGGTTTCACCATGTTGGACAGGCTGGTCTCGAATTTCTGACCTCAGGCAATCCACCCGCCTCAGCCTCCCAAAGTGTTGGGATTATAGGCATGAGCCACTGCACCCAGCCCATGCTGCTGTTGTTAATAATATACTTTTTTTTGGTCACATGGGTAATTTTAAAATCATTTTTTAAAAATTTTTATTTTTAACTTTTAGATTTGGGTATACATGCGGAAGTTTGTTACTTAGGGAAACACGTGTCATGGGGGTTTGTTGTACATATTTCATCACCCAGCTATTAAGCTCAGTCTACAATAATTATTTCTGTCCTCTCTGCATCCTCTCTGCTCAAGTAGACCCCAGTGTCTGTTGTTTACTTCTTTGTAATAACATACCTTTTTTTTTTTTTTTTTGAGATGGAGTCTTGCTCTGTTGTCCAGGCTGGAGTGCAGTGGTGTAATCTCAGCTCACTGCAGCCTTCACCTCCTGGGTTCCAGGGATTCTTCTGCCTTACTCTCCCAAGAAACTGGGACTACAGGCATGCACCACCATGCCCAGCTAATTTTTGTATTTTTAGTTCATATGGGGTTTCACCGCATTCCCCAGGCCAGTCTCAAACCTCTGACCTCAAGTGATCTGCCTGCCTTGGCCTGGCAAATTGCTGGGATTACAGACATGAGCCACTGCGCCCAGCCAGTAACGTATTTTTCAAGAGAGAATTGATTTACTCCAAAAACTACTAGTTTTTAAAATGAAGCATGAGAAATACTTAGAAGAAAATTACTTTCTGTGCTGGGAATACATTTTGATTTTGCTAGAAAATGAAAAAAAAAAAATTACTTTTCTGTTAGATTCCAATCAGGACAATTCCGTTGTACTTACTTGAACAGTTTTATGTTACTGAACTCTAGAATAAATTTTATCCTCTTCTGAGGCAAGAAAAATAGTAGAAAACTAACTTGTCTATTTAGAAATATCTACTCCATATATTATTTGTGATATTTTTGCAAATTAGCATTTGAAAAAGTAATTTCTTAAAAAATGCAATATTGCCCATTGTGAGGAAACCCCTCTAGCACACAGCTGGCCCGGACACCCCAGTAACACAGTGGGAAGGGGGTCACACTGTGCAAACCCTTTTGCATTTGTTAATGAACATGGAATGGTGGATTGGGGGTGGGGCCAGGGGATGTGGTGCAGGGAAGGGAGACCTCATGGGCTAAAGGTGGCTTAATCTGCTTTAATCCTAGTCTGAGAGTGCACCTGGTTCAAGAAATATTTTTGTTTGTTTTCTTACAGATTATTCAGCGATGTTTTACTAACCACTTCTGAAAAACCACAGTTTAAGGTAAAAACAATTATATTGTTTTTCGGTTTGTGATATAACTAAGTTGACTTTAAAGTTAACTCTATTTTTAGCCAAAAAAAGAAAAGGTATATAATAGGGAAAATTTGGAAATAATCTAAATATTCTACAATTAGGGGCTAGTTTAATAATTTATGATACGTCTATTTGACAGTCTAAAAGTGAAATTGATAAAGACATTGCAGTAATATGGAAAATGATTTAGATTTATGCTTAGGTATTAAAAAAAAAGAAGATAATGTGTAAAACAACTTATCTATCTAGAAACAAGACTGGAAGGAGGTCTTCTCCTGGGAAGCAGTGGTGTTATGTATCATGGAAAGAGAATGGACTTTGGAACTCAAAAAACCAGAATGATATCTTAATTGGTTCTTAGAATACTAGGTGTTATCTACAGCAGGGTTTTTCAGCCATGGTATTTGACGTTTTGGGCCAGATGATTCTTTGTTGTGGGGACTGCCTGTGCACAGTAGGATGTGAAGCAGCATCCCTGACCTCACCACTAGATGCAAACAATACTCCTTTCCCCGTTTCCCCAACCGTGACAATCAAAAATGCCTCCAGACATTGCCAAATGTCTCCTGGGGGCGGGGGTGTACAGAATTGCTCCCAATTGAGAGCTACTGACCTATGGGCAAGCACTTAATCTTTGGGTCTGCATGTACCCATGTGTAAAATCAGTGAGTAATGCATGTCTGTTTTCATTAGACCACTGAGATCATCTACAGAAACTCCTTGTTCAGGCCATGGCTCTTGGCAGTGCTCACTGTGAGTGCGATTTGGGTGGGAGGAAGAAAGGTAGTTCTCGCTCTCCTTTCTGTATTCCAAATGAAATACTATTAGGAGGAAAATCAATTAAAAACAAACAAAAGAAGGAAAACCAAGGCAGGGTTAGAAGACTGTGTCAGTGAGAGAGATGCTTTCCTCTGTTCTGTTTTGCCCATTAGAGGAATTCTGATAATAATAGCTTCTTTGGCTCTGAAGTAGGAGAGAAAAAAACATTTAAATTAATCTCTTCTTCACTGAAACATCTTAGGACATTTTTTCAGCCTTGTCAATAAATACATTCTCCTCTAACCCTGACAGTCCAGCCTTTAGGATTCAGGGATTAGTATTAGACCTCGCTGTTTCCCTAAGCCAGAGAGCCTAAGCGGCAAAGATAGTATGATTTTAAAATCCCACTTGAATTTCTTGTATGTACACTGACTTTCTGGAAAGATATACAGGAGACGGGTAATGTTGGTTTCCTCTGTGGCAGTAGGTGAGGGACTTTTCACTTCGTATGTGCCCTTTTATACCTTTCAGATTTTAAACCATGTGACTGTATTACCTACTTACAGCATTTTTTTTAATTTGAAATTTTTACAGAATAATAAAGACAAAAAGTTCAACATGATCTGAGTGTCTTATTTTCCAGGCCTGGACTCCTCATGGTTTAAAAGCGAATAAATTAAGAAATGACCCGGGCATGGTTTGTGGTGGGCCACACCTACAATCCCAACACTTTCGAAGGCTGAGGCAGGTGGATTATTTGAGGTCAGGAGTTCCAGATCAGCCTGGCCAACATAGCAAAACCTCATTGCTACCAAAAATACAAAAATTAGCTGGGCTTGGTGACAGGTGCCTGTAGTCCCATCTACTTGGTAGGCTGAAGCAGAAGAATTGCTTGGACCCAGGAGGCCAAGGTTGCAGTGAGCTGAGATCACACCACTGTACTCAAGCCTGGGTGACAGAATGAAACTCTATTTCAAAAAAAAAAAAAAAAAAAAAGGAAAGAAATGATAGGTTTAGAAGCAAACTGGGCTGTTGTTAGGAATGTCTCCCAACAGGTAAAGCTGGGAAAGCTTCATCTTATAAAATTCAGAACATAAATCTTTCAGAAAATAGCTCTGAAGTTATAAAATAATACTGCTTGAATTGTTGTATGTTCCAATAAGTTTTATGTAATTAAAAAAATTTTTTTTTTGAGATGGAGTCTTGCTCTTGTTGCCCAGGCTAGAGTACAATGGCACAATCTCAGCTCACTACAACCTTTGCCTCTCAGGTTCAAGTGATTCTTCTGCCTCAGCCTCCCAAGCAGCTGGAATTACAAGCTGCTACCAAGCCCCGCTAATTTTTGTACCATTAGTAGAAACGGGGTTTCACCATGTTGTTCAGGCTGATCTTGAACTCCTGACCTCAGGTGATCCACCCACCTGATCCCAAAGTACTGGGATTACAGGTGTGAGCCACTGAGGCTGGCCAATTTTTTAAATTTTTGGTTAAAAAAAAAGTTTTTTTGAGATAGGGTCTCACTTTGTTGCCAGGCTGGAGTGCAGTGGCGCAGTGATGGGGCTCAGTGCAGCCTCGATCTCCTGGGCTCAGGCAATCCTCCTGCCTCAGCCTCCTGAGTATCTAGGACCACAGGGGCCTAATACCACCACACTCTCCTAATTTTTAAATTTTTTGTAGACACAGGGTTTCACTATTTTGCCCAGGCTAGTCTTGAACTCTTGGCTCCAAGTGGCCTCCAAAAGTGCTGGGATTACAGGTGTGAGTGACTGTGCCTGACCTAATCTTTAAATTTTTAATTGTAATAAAACATACAATATAAAATTTATCCTCTGAACCATTTTTAAGCGTACAGTTTAGTGATGATAACTATCTTCACATTGTTGTATAACAGATCTCTAGAACTTACAACCTGAAACTCTATATCCAGAGAATAATAATTCCCCGTTTCTCCCTCCCCACAGCTCCTGGCAATCACTATTCTACTTTGTTTCTATGATCTTGACTACTCTACAAGTCTTATATAAGTATTTATCCTTTTATGAATAATTTATTTCACTTAGCATAATGTCCTCAAGATTCATCTATGTTGTAGCATGTGATAAGATTTCCTTCTTTTTTTAAGGCTGAATAATATTCCATTGAAAGAATATGCCACACTTTATTTATTCATCTGTGATGAGCATTTGAGTTGCTTTTACCTCTTGTCTGTTATGAATAATGCCACAGTGAACATGGGTACACAAATACCTCTTTGAGATCCTGCTCTCGATTCTTTTGGATATATACCCAGAAGTTGAATTGCTAGATCATATGGTAGTTCCATTTTATAGTTTTCTGAGGCACCTCCATACTGTTTTCCATAGCAGCTGTACTACTCGACATTTCCACCAGCAGTGTACAAGGGTTTCAGTTCCTCCACATTCTTACCAACACTTGTTATTTTATTTTTTTAATAGTGGCTGTCCTAATGGGTGTGAGGTGATACCTCATTGTGGTTTTGATTGACATTTCTCTAATGATTAGAGACATTGAGTGCCTTTTCATATGCTTGTTGGTCATTTGTATATTTTCTTTAGAGAAATGTCTATTTAGATCTTTTGCCCTTTTTAATTGGGTTACTTATATTTTGTTGTTGAGTTGTTGGAGTTCCTTTATATATTCTGGATATTAATTCCTTCTCAGACCTATGATTTGCAAATATTATGTCCCATTCCTTGAGTTGTCTTTTTACTCCGTTATTTCTGTTGCGCCAATGTTTTATTTATTTATTTTTCTTTTTTTCTTTTGGAGACAGGGTCTTGCTCTGTTGCCTAGGCTGGGAGTACAGTGGCGCAATCTCAGCTTATTGCAACCTCCACCTCCCAGGTTCAAGCGATTCTCCTGTCTCAGCTTCCTAAGTGGATTACAGACATGTACCACCATGCCTGGCTAATTTTTATCTTTAGTAGATACAGGGTTTTGCCATATTGGCCAGGCTGGTCTCAAACTCCTCACCTCAAGTGATCCACCCACCTCAGCCTCCCAAAAGTGTTGGGATTACAGGTGTGAGTCACTGTGCCCAGCTGCACCAAAGTTTTGAATTTTGATGAAGTTTAATTATTTTTTCTTTTATTGCCTGTGCTTTTGGTGTCATATGCAAGAAATAAATCACTGTCAAATCCAATGTCATGAAGCTTTCCCCTGTGTCTTTTCTTTAGGAGTTTTATCGTTTTAGGTCTTACGTTTAGGTCTTAAATCCAGTTTAATTTTTGTATATGGTATAAGGTAAGCGTCCAGCTTCATTCTTTTGTATGTGGATAACCAGTTTTCCCAGCACCATTATTGACTATACTGTTCTTTCCCCCATTGTGTGTTCTTGGAACTCTTGTCAAAGATTATTTGACCATATCCATAGGGGTTTATTTCTGGGCTCTCTTCTTTTCCATTGGTCTATGTATCTGCCTCCACATCAGCACCACACTGTTTTTGTTGTTGTTGTTGTTGTTTTGAGATGGAGTCTGGTTCTGTCTCCCAGGCTGGAGTGCAGTGACACGATCTCAGCTCATTGCAACCTCTGTCTCCCAGGTTCAAGCGATTCTCCTGCCTCACCCTCCCAAGTAACTGGGACTACAGGCGCGTGCCACCACAACTAGCTAATTTTTTGTATTTTTAGTCGAGAAGGGGTTTCACCGTGTTAGCTAGGATGGTCTTGATCTCTTGACCTCATGATCTGCCCGCCTTGGCCTCCCAAAGTGCTGGGATTACAGGCATGAACCATCTCGCCCAACCCACACTGTTTTAATTACTGTAGCTATGTAATAGGTTTCAAAATCAGGAAATGTGAGGCCTCCAACTTTGTTTTTCTTTTTCAGATTGCTTTGGCAGTTTACAGCCTTTGAGAATTACTTGAAACACATCATGTTTATTTATGTTTTAGTTTTATGTGTTCATTGCTAAAAAATGCTAGAGAGGTGACTTTGATAGGGATACCAAAAGTGGCTGGGGTAGGATTTGAATGGACAGCTGTAACTGATTTTATTCCAAATAACTCTTGATAATCAACTGTTTCTTCATTGGCTTCAGGGCTTGGGAGTATCTCCAGCTGCATTTTTAAATGGATGATATACTTTCTCTTCTTTCAGATCCCTACAAAGTTAAAAGAGGCATTGAGAATTGCCAAAGAATGTATCGAAAAGAGACTAATCGAAGAACAGAAACAGGTAAATTGATAATGGTTCCTCCCTGCCTTCGTTTAGTGTCCCCATCCTCTGCCATGGTTTTTATAGTGGTTGACATTTGACTGTTCACTCCACAAATATTTTAAGCATACTTACTCTCAGCCAGCCTTTAGGCTAAAAGCTGCCCCGTAGAGCTGAATACTTCACCGTCCTGCCCTCGAGGAGCTCAATGGATGTTGAAAACAAGCATGTCTAGGATGGGTAGTCTGGCTTGAGGATCAGGGCATGCGGGTGGTGGTAGCTGGGAGCATGCATGGTCCATGCTCTCTCACCACATTCTTCTGTGAAAGAGGGAAAGGCAGGAAGGTATCCGGGGCATGAGAAAGGTCCTCTTCCTCTGGTATACTCTTCTACCAGGCTTGCGCCAGGAAGTAGATAACCTGAGCAAGGAAAGATTTTTTTTATCCCAATAAAATATGGTTTGGCAAAACATGTTGGAGAATATTTTCATTAGGAAGCTGCCTGATGTGGGATATGCTTACACCTTCTCGTCTCTTAAAGATTCACCAGCATCGAAGACTGACAAGAGCTCAGTCCCACCATGGATCTGAGGAGGAAAGAAAAAAAAGAAAGATTTTAGCTCGAAAGGTAAGCATGGTGTCTCTCTGCATTCCTTCTATGAGTTCTTGAATACATGTGAATAAAGTTCTAGGTTAATGGTGCCCATTTAATGACAGATACTGTGCTATATCTCCTTGAAAGCTAAGACTATTTCAAGATGACTGGGGTGCAGCTTTAAAAAAAAAAAAAAAGAGCTATAGAAGAATCAGCAGAGAAAAAGCCCATGTAGTTTTCTGGTTTGCTGGGATGATTATGGCATAATGTAACTGGAGGAAACAATTGGCCTGAGATAGTAAAGTCAGCATTTTTGGTTTTATTTCTCCCTTTAGTTTTGGCTGTTGCTTCTTCACTGTATTAAATCATGGGGCTGAATGTGACCTTGTCTGTAGCTAGTTTAATGGTATGCCTGGAAAATATTTTTATTCTAACTCCAGCTTCACTGTGTTTATTCTTTGCTTTCCTCTCCCCCTCCCCCTTTTCTTTTATTCTTAAAGAAGTCAAAACGATCTGCTCTTGAAAATAGTGAAGAGCATTCAGCGAAGTACAGCAACTCCAATAATTCAGGTAACTGATTAGAGTTGGTAACGGGGCCCAGGACCCAGAGATCAGGATCAGGAGTCTCTAGTTGGTCAAGAGGTCTTGAGTTCTGCTAGCCAGAAACTGGGCAATGTAGTAATGACTACAGAGAACAAAATAACTCTGTCTCTAATGAAGGATTGTAACGGCATTCATAGGCTTGCAGCACTCAAGTGCTAGAAGGGACTTCTGAGGTAATTGGATAGTTCACCTTCTTCACTGATGGCGGAACTTGATCGACTAAAGACAGACTCAGGAGCATTAGCCATGGAAGGAAAACACCTGACTTAAAATGCAAGGCTTCCCATATTTTAGTAGAGCCTGCATGAAGAGAAATGACTTTAAATCCTGCCTGCTTCTCTGGACCCCACGTGGTGGGAAGATGTGCCCTCCTGTGTGAATTGAGGAAAGGACTCGACAGTGTGTGGGGAATGGCAACAAACCGAGATGGTACAAAGAGTTGGCATTTGTTGCTGCCACTTCCAGCTGCCCCTCACAGCTGGCTCTGATTTCCATAATGTCCCATCTTTGGAAATCAGAGCCAGATCCCTGGGGGCCTTCTGGTTTTTCTAGTTTGTGACTCTGTGAAGTAGAGCCCACATAGAAAAGGGAAGGTTTCACCCTAACCCAAGCAGTTTTGGCTTAGCCCTGGAGGGCCATGGGACTACCTGCTTATACTTTTAGGCAGAGGAAAGACAGAGTAGAAAGGGGGAATTTGAAGATGCAAAAGAGACAGTAACTGGGGGCAGGGGGCATTGGGGCTACAAAGCCAAGGGTTAGCATTCAAAGTACCAGCTATTGGTCTGAGCTTTGAGGAGACCCATGCATCTCTTCCTAGAGGTAGGATATGGTGGCAGCAGGAGAAGAGACAGAGATGTTTAAAAGTAGAAGGGAGGAAATTGGGGGTATTCACAGGTCATGCCTCAGTCTTTTCAGGGAAGTCAGGGAGGAGAATGTCTGCCTGGGGCAGGAGGAGAAACTGGGACTTAAACAAGATGATTAGGCTGCAGCCCTGAGGGCTGAATGAGCCACAGCTGGAGAATGCAAGGGGCGTGGCCAAAGCTGGAGATTGGAAGCACTGAATAAAGTCCATAGACTCCAGCAGGAGAGTGAGAGTTTGGAGAAGGCTCAGGGAGAGCTGCAAAGGAGAGGTAGGAGGGGAAGTCCCAATGAGGACCAGCGCAGGCTCCTCTGGGGTGAGTGCTGTGGTGGCCGGTGGGTAATTTCAGAGTTGGAAGCCTATTTTCTCCATGGTTGATGGGAGGGACATGGACCAGTCATGGTCATCATTAGGCTGAGACTCATGTCTCCAACCAGCAGTAGCTAATTTTTTATAGAGCGGAGAAAGCCTAACAGTGTACTCTCTACCTTCTAAGACCCTGCCTGCCTGCAAAGCTGTGTCACGTGCAGCCGGATGAGACTCAAGGACATCAGGACACCCCAGTGCCCTCAGGAGTTTAGGAAAATGAAGTAGCAATTGATGGATAAATATAGATAATTCCCAAACTCTATTGGAATCAAGCGGTCAAGCTTCTTTCTCCCCCTTAAAATCCATTAGCACTACAAACAATATGAAGACAGTGTGCATTGATTTTTACCTCCTTTTTCAGTAAAACACCCTCATATTTTATAGGGAACTGAGGCAATATTGCAAATAGAAAAGTATTAAGCTAAAGGGAGGTGTGGCTTGATCAGGACGTTTCTCATCATGGCCAGTGTCCATGAGGCACCAACATGCCCTGTGGGAAGTCAGTGAAATGATGGCTGGAGGCTTAACTACACCAGCTCTGGTGGCTTCTCTGGCATGTAATGATAGCCCTCCCTTTGGGTGTGTGTGCCGATCAGCCCAGAAAGCACCTGAGTAGGGAGATTTGGTTAAACTCTCCATATGATCTCTGTGTGGGGGAGGGGTGTTGGAGCCTCTGCTGATGGAGCTACTTCCATGTCAGCTCAGGAGGGAGTAATGGGGAGATGCTGAGAACTTGGGAATATTTGAAAAGATTACTAGATCCAGAAAAAGCATGCAACAGGTGGGATTTTGCACATTGTTTTAGTGTGAAGAAGGACATTTACTGATTCTAGATAAGAAAAGGCCTGTGAAATCCAAGAACTAAATAGGCTGACCCTATCTAGTTGACTCTACCTGCTGATGAAACAGAACTTCTACAGAACATGTTACTGGGTGGATGCTGTAGGGAGCTCTTCCTTCCTTTAGAGGCCTCAGCAGGCTGCTCTGCACCTCTCTGTCCCCTGTACCATTTGTGGCCTCTGTCATTTGTCATTACTCAGAAGTGGAAGTTGGGTCAGGAAGAGATACTGCAGCCAATTGCATAAGCTGTTGATTGTGCAAAGTTTCAAACCAGGCAGGCTGTGGGGAGCAGTGGGAGGCAAGAAGCTTTTAGTGGCTTGGGGAAGGAGATGGACCGTGCACTGGAGTAGAAGCCTGTCATCATTGGGTCCAGTCTCTGAGTTTTTTGTCCCTCATCATCTTGTTTCACAAGGTTCACACACTAAGCCAAGTGTAGATGCTCAGACAAAAATGGGTCCCAGCCTGGGCCAAATGCCAAATGTCTTTTGTTGGTCCCCATAAGGGTTTCTCTGTGTTTTATCTCAGCAGGATCTGGGGCCAGCTCACCTCTCACATCCCCGTCATCGCCAACTCCACCCTCTACATCAGGTTAGTGATGGAGTAAAGTGACATGCCACCTTCCTCTCTGCCAACAGGAAGAGTGGGCTGTGCCTCTTCCTGCCTTGGCCCAACAATTTCAGGCATTAGATAGCAGCAGCCTTCTCAAGAGAGATCAGTGGGAGTGCAAATTAGCAGTGTCATTTGGGAGAGCAGAGGGGCTAGATTTCCAAGCTCTGCTTTCACAGGAAATGGACCAGTTTCAGGGCCATTAGCCACCCCTGGCTCCAGCTTGTTGAAAAGCTTCATGCAGAGCTAGGATTGGAGCCTGTCTTGGTACATGCTCAGCTAAACAACACAGATGCACTGTGGCCCACTGGTCCCATCCTGCCAGGCCTCTCTTACCAAGGAGCCTGTTCATAGGGTCAGCTTTATCACAACACAACTGGTGAGATACCTAGATGCAGGAGTGAAAGAGTCACTGCATTTCCGATTTTCTGGCAACAATTAGACTCTGTTTTGCTCTGTAATGTATTTAATTATCTGAATATTTTTCTGTTACTAGCCTTTGTTTCACCTTTGTAAATTAGATACAAGTTTTGATTGAAAAATGTAAAAAGAATGAATCTTGGAGACTGCTTATAAAAATAATCCCTGATTTTGTGGGGTAGCCCCATAATACTATCTTTCTTTTCTTTTTGAACCAAGATCTCTCTCTTAAAGTCTTTTGCAAGCCCAATAAAAACAATTGGGACACCAGTATCTCCTTTTGCTTCTTAAATGAATCACATGTTCTAGATGTGCAAGGAGCTGCTTCTGCCACTCAGAGCTTACCGGCTGTGCTTGGAAGGGTTCCTACAGCTGTGTGAAGGGAGAGTCATTGGCAGGGGTTTGGTATATGAGTTGATCCCATAATCATTATTAATATCTAACAAGGCACCCAGGAGCTGCCAAGAGCATTCCTCATCTCCACTCAAATGCTTCTAACTGACCCACCTAAGAAAACAAGAGCGAGCAAACGCAAGGGACTAGTGCGAATGACTTATTTCTGCCTGAGGGTGGTTATTGGTGCCTTAGTGCTGAATGTTCTAGGGCCAGGGCCTGCTTTTGAATAGCAAAGTACCTGGTTCATGGGAGGATATTCTTGTCCTTATCTTACTTTGTCAGCAGATTTCCCAAGAAAGTCCCCAAATGTTGATCAAGACAGAAAATAAGCTTTTTTGTCTTTTGTGGAGATAACCTGTTCAGGCTAATCAGAAATGTCTAGTGATCTACTGCCCCAACTATATTGACCCATTTCCTAGAATATAGGATATTAATTTAATACTACTTGGGCATATTAGGAGAAATTAATAGTGAGAATCCATAAACCTCCTTTAGCAAGCAAGGCACTGGAGGCAGCTGTGTAAGGGTTCAGAGCCCCTCCCTGTGTGGTTAGATCTGCCCTGCTCAGTTGACTACCAGTTCTTATCTCTAAATGCCTTTGGGAATTTACAATCTATTTGGACTTTTGGGGGAATTCTCTAATTTATCTGTGTTTAAATGGGCACTGTCTCATCCAGGAGCAAGTTTGTAGGAGATAAGGTAACTTTTAGAATGAGAGAAAAAAAGAGGAGTCTTATGTAATTAGAGTCAATGTTGGGAAAACCTGGCGGTGAGTGGGAGGGGCATTCCTGTGAACTTGATAGTGCGCAGCCTGAAGGGGAGTCTTGAGGATTTAGAAGGAAAACATATGTGAGGCCGCAGCACAATGCCTGGCAGAGTGAGAGTGCCTGGCAGATATGAGAGGTTCCCAGCAAATATTGGCTTCTCCTTTGTTTTATCTCCTTTTATGTTTTGTTGATCAAATGGACTCAGCCTGTACTCTGACCTCTGCTGGGCATTTCCTGTAATGCATCTCATGAAAATGGTAACTAATATTTAGCATTTGCCTGGCAACCTAGCATTTCAGTCCCTAAGCAATTCAACCCCAGGGAGTTTATTCATTCAAGATGTAGTCAAGGTGCATTTACTGAGAGCCTGTGGTTTGCTAAGGAGGACTGCGCTTGGCCCTGGGTTACAGAAATGGATAGACAAGGACCTAGCTTTCATGGAGTCACATTTCCAGTGCCTCTCAGAAGCTCCAAAATGATAGACACTGTTTAGGAAAAACTCACACTCAGAAGTGTTTTTTCCTGTTCTGACACTCAACACAACAATAATCAGCACACACAGACTTCTGTGACCGAATTTCAGGAGGTCGGGGAGTGGTTCTCTCGGCCACCAAGAAAGCAATCAGTAAGCAACAAGCTGGGTGTCCTCCAACTCAGTTCTGACACTATCTACCTGGAGATTGCATCACACCCCACAGGTTGGGGCTTAGTCCCCAAAACTACCTGCTCTTTCTGACACTATGTGCAAGGATGGGAATCCAGAACTTTGGCGAACCAGCTATAAGTAGAAGTTCCCCCAGCCCTCTCTTTGGTTTCCATTAATTTGCTGGTGCAGCTCACAGAACTCAGGGAAACATGTTTACCAGTTTATTATAAAGGATGTTACAAAGGATACACACGAAAAGATGCATAGGGCAAGGTTTGGGGGAAGGAGCTTCCATGCCTTTCGTGGGCACATCACCCTTCAGGAACCTTCGCATGTTCAGCTATCAGGAAGCTCTCCAAACCCTGCCCTCTTGGGCCTTTTATGGAGGCGTCATCAGCTAGGCATGATTGACAACCATATAGAAATGTTGTTATAGAACCAAACTGGGGTCCTATTCACCCAGTGCAATAAAACAAGATACCCACACCGAGGCTGTTGCAGTGATAGAAAGGAAGGCATTTATTGCAGAGTGCTAGGCAAGGAGGACCAGGCAGCGAAATGCTCGAAATCTGACCTTCCAGATGCCTTACAGGCAAGGATTTTTATAGGTGGGGTAAATTTTGGGAAAACAGAAGCTAAAGGTAAAATTATAAGTCAGTACGCTGAGGTTGTGCATTGGTTTAAGCCTAAAAGGGTGGGACATCTTGGGGATAGGGGGTACTCACAAGTAGATTCAGAGATCTGACTTGCAGTTGATGAAGAGAAGCTTTAAGAATTTTGGGGTCAGTAGAAAAATGTTAACTTGCTAAGGGGAGTGACTTTCTCCAAGCTTCTCAGGAAGATACTTAGAACAAAGGACCAATAATAGGTACAGTTTAGTCTTCTTTTCCTCCTCCTCTGGGTCTTTGTGGTTTGGGTCTTTAGCGGGGGTCTAAACCTTTGAAAGACAATCAGCGACATGTGTTAAGATGTTATCTTTGGTTTCTGCAGGGCAAGGGAACATCTCTGGAGCTTTAACTTCCTTGGCTATTGTTCTTAAGCTAATTATTACTTTCTTGTTTACCAAGTTACTTAATTACTTAATTACCTCTAGGGCTTGCTGAATGCCTGGAATTTTTCTTAAAGGAGCATTTGGATTTTCCTTTATTTACATGCCTTGAGGTTTGCAGGACCCTAAAAGTTGAGGGATGTCCCAGTTCCCTCTCAGTGTGATTGTAAAAAAAAAAAGTATGATCTGAGTACCCAATGTTTAGCTAAAATTTTAAAAATTTTAAAAAAAGAAAAGAAAGAGTATGATCTAAACCCAGCAAGGCCTGTTTGTTGAGGTTCTGCTTGGCCTCTCTGTGCAGCATTTCTTCCTCCAGGGTGCAGGGCTTGTATGGGAGATGCTTGGTAAATTTTTGATTTACATAGGCTTGCTCTGCAGATTTCAAGGCCTCTGCTGAGTCAGGGCAGGACTCTGAGCCTAGGGATGATACCATTTTTGTTTTTGAGACAGTCTTGCTCTGTCACCCAGGCTGGAGTGCAGTGGTGCAATCTCGGCTCACTGCAACCTCTGCCTCCCGGGTTCAAGCGATTTTTGTGCCTCAGCCTCTGAGTATCTGGGATTACAGGTGCTTACCACCATGACCAGCTAAATTTTTTGTTGTATTTTTGGTAGAGATGGGGTTTCACCATGTTGGTCAGGCTGGTCTTGGACTCCTGACCTCAAGTGATCCGCCCGCTTCGGCCCCCTGAAGTGCTGAGATTGCAAGTATGAGCCACTGTGCCTGGCCAGGATGGCAATTTTTGGCTGGCCCGCCCCTGCTTAGGCTATTCTTCCTTGTAGAACTAGAGGCCGGCCTTCTCCTGGGCTCAAGTGATCCTCCTGCCTCAGCTTCCTGAGAAGCTGGGACTATAGGTGTGCACCACCACATCCAGCTAATTTTTTAAAATTTTTTTGTAGAGACAGAGTCTCACCATATTGCCCAGGCTGGTCTCAAACTCCTGGGCACAAGCGCTTCTCTCACTTAAGCCTCCCAAATTGCTGGGATTATAGATGTGAGCCACAGCGCCTGGCCTCACAGTTCTTTCTAATCAAGCACACCCTAAATCTTAAATCCACTGTGGACTCTGGCCTTTGACAGATTTCTCAGCAGTGGATCAGCAGCAATAGATCAAGTTAGGTAAGTTGAATTCAGCAGCAGTGCCTTTCTTCCTGAAATCATCAGTTTTAAGCACATTTATAGCAGCTAAAGGTGGTCTTAATCTCAGTTTCTAAGTAAAGGGGTCTTACCTTCATGAGCCCTTTCCAGCAATTGTGTAAGGGCTGGGGCCCCTCCCTTTTCTTACTGCAGCTTCTTCTCTGGGAGCCCTTTCTTCAGGTCCTTACCAAGTTGATGGGAGAACTATCCTCTCCCTAAGTCTGCTGGCAGTTCCATCAGGTGGAGTGGGATTCTATAATACTCTTTTGCTGAGACCGCTATTTATTCAGTAAGAACATTCCTAGCACTGTCTTTTCTGCAAAAGGTTGTTTTCTGCCTCAGGAAGGTCACTCTTTCAAGAACTTTAAAATTCTTTATCCTGGCTTATTTCATGATAAACTAGTGTGTATATTCTATTTCTAGAACTGATTAGTTAAAAAGGTCCGAATTTACACACGCATGCACACACACACACACACACACACCCACCCCCACCAGTATACCCTCCCACCCTCCTTTGGGAGAACACAGGCCTGTTGCCTTACTCTCTGTTTTTTGAGACAGGATCTCTCCCTGTCACCTAGGCTGGAGTGCAGTGGCACAATCACCGCTCACTGTGGCCTTAACCTCCCACCTCAGCCTCCCAAGTGGGACTACAGGTGTGTGCCACCGTGCTTGGCTAATTTTTGTATTTTTTGTAGAGATGGATTTTGCCATGTTGCCCAGGCTGGTCTTGAACTCCTGGGCTCAAGTGATCTACCCACCTTGGCCTCCCATAATGGTGGGATTACAGGCATGAGCCACCCATGCCCAGCCCTTTTTTAAAAAAAGTGAGTTTTTAAAAGAGTATTTTTGGAAAGCGAAGTAAGCAGAGGACCCTAAATTGTTATTTAAAATAATTATATCTATTTGGAGCACTTATTTTGTGCTAGGCACTGTTGATTTATAGTCATTTGTTTCAGTTAATCATCGTGAATACCTTCCTATCCAGTGTGAGTGGACTCCAGCTCCATTTTACAGATGAAGAAACTGATGCTCTAGTAGGGTTAAGAGACTTTGACCAAGGTCACACAAGTTATCCGGGTGCTAGAACCAGGAGTCTAACTTGTTCATTGTTCATTTACACCACTGATTTATTGAGTGCCTGCTTTCTTCAGGATGCACGGCAGGGCCCGTGCTCTTCAATGCTGTGGTTGGCTGGTGTGAAAAGAACCCTGAATGTCGAGTCAGTAAACCAGGGCTGGAGTCCTAGCTCTGCCACATTCCCACTATGACCTTGGACAAATAATTTCCATTCTTTGAAGCTGTCTTTTAAAAGAAGTCCTGCTCTTTATGGCGTACATGGTGGGGCTTTCTAAGCAGTAAATACTATCAAGTATAAACTATGAATGCCCTACAATCAGATAATTCTAGCTGTTCTTGCCTGCAGTTTATATTTTAAGCAATAATTTTGAGGTGAGAAAGCTGGCAGTTTGTAGAAAACCCAGTTTTCAAGAATGAAAGGGAAGTTTCAAATCTGAAGAGGAAGAGATGTGAGGGCCAGGGGTTCCCCTTGGTCCTCTGAAGTTTTGCTGAAAATTCAACTGGCCAAACAGATTAATAAGATAAAAGGCGTACAAGTTTATTTAATGTGTATATGCAGGAGCCTTCAGAATGAAGACCCAAAGATACAGGGAAAATTGTCCATTTTTATGCTTAGGTTCAACAAAGTATGGACAGCTGTGTAGAAATATGATTGGAGGAAAGGCTTTGATCTAATGCTAATAATAGGCTGAGTGGGAAAACCCAACAAGGCTGTCTAGATTCTTCTTGGCCTCTTGGAGCAGCATTCCTTCCTTCTGGGTATGGTCAGGACCTTCTCTGGAATAGGGGGCTTATGATCTACAGTCAGACAAGGTGGTTCAGGTGATTTCTTTTCTTTTTTGAGATAGAGTTTCACTCTTGCTGTGGAGGCTGCAGTGCCCAGGCTGGAGGCACAATCTTGGCTCACTGCAGCCTCTGCTTCCAGGTTCAAGCAATTCTCCTGCCTTAGCCTCCCGAGTAGGGATTACAGGTACCCGCCACCACACCTGGCTACTTTTATTAGAGATAGGGTTTCGCCGTGTTGGCCAGGCTGGTCTCAAACTCCTGGCCTCAGGTGATCTGCTTGCCTCCTAAAGTGCTGGGATTACAGGTGTGAGCCATCATGCCCAGCCAGGTGATTTCTTTATGGCCAGTTTTTACACAGAAAGGTGGAGGGAGAGTAATTATTTTTAGGTATGATGGCTGGCTTTGGGGAAAAAGGGTTCTGTTTCTATAACCCACCTTGAAGAAGGAGTGATACTAGTTTCTCTGGCTAGCCTTGGGGGACAGTAAGACTGAGAAGACTGGAGGGCAAGAGAAAGTCAAAGAAAAACTTTTGCTCTGAGGCTGCTGCTGAGGTCTTCATTTCGGGATATTGTTTTCTGAGTCCCAACAGAGGGAAAACAGCTGTCTGGGCACAGAGAGTCACTGAGAACTCTTAACAGGAAGAAGGGTTAATAATAAAAAAACAAGACTTAAGGCAGAAAAGAAGAGAGAATGTTAGAGCTTCCAGATCAAAGTCTGAAACCCGTTCTAGGCTCAGAATTGCTGTCGGGTGGTAAGAATTGCCCCCTCATCTGTGTTTCCTCCCAAGGTGTCCAGACGTGAGTGGTCAGCCTGCCCAGCTCCAGCCCACATGGGGCCTCGTTTCCCAGTTTCCCAGCCTCTTTCTAGGAGAAGGCCTTGGGGCAGAGTTGGTTTGTTAGGAACTCTGAGATTTACCAAAGGATAATCCTTCACATTTAGCTGGGGATCTAGTCAGTTTAAAAGAAGACAAGAAAAACATTTACCTTGCTTTCCTTTTTTTGGCTGGAGTGGAGTGGCGCCATCTTAGCTCATTGCAACCTCCACCTCCTGGGTTCAAGCAATTCCCTTGCCTCAGCCTCCCGAGTAGGTGGGATTACAGGTGCCTGCCACGAAACCCGGCTCATTTGTTGTATTTTAGTAGAGATGGGGTTTCACCATGTTGGCCTGGATGGTCTTGATCTCCTGACTGGGTGAACCACCGTGCCAGGTCACTTTCCTTTTTAAAATGACTTTATAGCCTTAAGTAAGTTCACTACCCAATTCAGACTCTAGAGAGGGGCCCATGTGCTCCCACCTTGAGGATGCCTGCCCAGGAACTCTGGCCCTAGGCCTGCTCGTGCTCCTCCCAACTTGAAAGAGACAAGTCTACTATAGACTGTAGAAGGCTTTTTTGGAGAAAGGTGGTGGGTTTTCATTTTTCTCCCCTCTTGATCAACCTTGTTCAATAATAGAACTAAGTACACTCATATCCAGTCTGCTCTTCAGAGGTAAAACCTTCATGGCTCTTCTGAAGGGAGCTTTGTGCTTGTTAATAAAAATAGCACCTAACTGGCTCAGAGGACAAAGAACATGAAGAAGAAAGCGACTCATTAGTTGGATTAAAAAGCAACTCATTGGTTATTCTATAAATACGTTTGCCGTGTTTTAAAAGGCTCACAATCATGTTTCCAAACCCGGTGCCTTTTGTAGTTAATTTGAGTATATCCTAGTTTTGAAGTGAGAATAATCAGCTTATAATTCAGACTAATATTTTACTGTCTGTTACTATTTGTTCAAATGACACTAAAATCTGAATAATGACTTGTGTCCCCTCTTTCTCTTTCTCTCTTTGCTGTTTTCAGTACAGCATGCACCATTTTGAACGTGAATTTTCGGTAAAGTAAACTATGCTGATTTCTCTAACTTTAAAGATGCTCTGTTTCTATGTGTGAAATAGGATCCAAAGTGTCTCGATCGCTGAAGTGATGAACAAGTGGGAAAGCAGATTTGAGACTATTTCCTTATCTGAATATTTAAATGAAATACAGCATCTTTAAAAAGTACCCAGTGACTTCATCTATATTCATTTCATTTTCATCATGACCTTCAAAATCTTCATTTTCACTCTGATTTCAGATTTAAAATGCAGCTCTAAAACCTGCAAATCAACTGCATGGCATTTTGGTATATTTTAATTTTGGAAACCATAACTCTCAAAGTCCTATTGCTGCAAAAATGTTGGTTCCTAGTTATTCTGATGAAGGGGAAAGAGTGTTAGGCAGTTGAGTTCCTGGTCACAGGAAGACAGCTTGCTGGCTTTTTAACTGATGGTAGGGAGAAACAGTTCTTCTGTAAGCATCCTTTATGATTCTCAATCTGTGACAGGAATACAGCCTCCTCACCTGCCTGAGGCCAAAGGAAAAGGTGGTTCTCCTGAGAGCTGGGGGCTGCCTGCTTCCTTCTCTCCCAAGGGTGGCTGGATAGTCTGGTGTTACCCTAGTGTGGTCTTATGGCCACTTGGCCTCCCCTCTTGTATGTGACCACAGAGGAACACAGAATTACAGAGACCTGTAGATTACCCACTGCTGGCCTAAGAGTCAGAGGGGTACTCCTTTTCACGAGGCTGTCAAGGGTGTTTCTGGCCTGGCATTCCTCCCTAGATCTGACCTACGTGCTCACTGCAGCAATCTCTGCCCTCTGCCAGGGCCTTTGATGGACTGCCAGGTTCCCATGTGGCTTGATGGAGAGGATTTTGGGGAGAGTGGAGTAAGTAGTTGGCTCTCCAGGATTTTGTCTAAGAGAAAGTGAGATGGGAGAAATCAGGACTGACCTAATCATAACAGAAGGTAAGCTGTTTGGAGCATCCCCCATCCTGGACACAAATTCAGGTATCATCAGTTTAACATGGAATCGGTCTGCTCTTGTATGTGGCCTGGAGATAAGGGTATTGGAGGCCTCTTGGCAGGAGGGACTCATTCGTATTCTAGGTGTGAAGAGAGCGCAGGCAGCAGGCAATTGTTCCCAGGTTTGTCACAGGCCAAATGGTCAACTTTCATTTGGCCCTGTTGCCCCTGTCCCCTCTTACCTCCATTGTTAGCCACGTGTTGTAGCTGAAGCCCCAGTGGACCTTTCAGGAAGCTTGTAGACCATGGCAAGGGCCGAAAGGAAAAGCCAAAAACAATCAATGGTGTGGACTGAGTGAGAGTGAGTCCCAGGCCTGTGTTCCTGCCTTCTCGTTTTCACCTTCTGACTCCCAGACCTCCTCTCCCCTGTTCCAAACTGAAAAGTTGGGTTTGGCCTCTTTGCCCTGGTTGTACCCAAGAGCCACCATGGTTGTTGCAGGCCCAGTGAGGAAAAGCAGACCTGCTGGGACATCAAGCCCCACTGGACTGCTCGGGATGGCTGGGGCCACATCAGGGAGATCCTGCTGCCTGTCCTTTCGTTCCATTTGTTTTACATGCACAGGTTTCCCTGGAGCTCTTTGGACAGCATATTTATTTACACCACCTACATTTTCAAAGAGACTCATTTAAAGTGACAATGGTTTCAGCCTTTACTTGGACCACTCCCAAACTCTGCGGTGGTGCATTTGCACTTCTAATTTTGAGGGCCTGGTAATGAGGCCAAAACCAAGGGTTGGTTCTCTGTGAGACCAAGCAGTTTTGTTCTGTGCCAAGATGGCAGGCCCTACCCCATCTCCAGCCTCCCAGAATCCTTGCCTGGAGGGCTGGTCCATCTCTAGATGGTCAGTGCTGTGCCTTTAGTTGAACTCCCAAGTAGAACTCCCTCGCCTACTGCTGCAGCTGAGAACCTGTCCTTAACTGTGCAGTGATTCTTCTGCCAGGGGTCAAAGCACAAACCTGGGAAGCAGAAACCCTGGAGCTCCTTCTGTTACACACTGGGCCCTGATATCAAGTCCAGATTCCGCTGCCCTTTTCTGGCCATTGGGTGGGAGGGTTCTAGGGAAGGGCATTGGCACCTACTCACCCCCAAGTGGCAGAGCTCACTCCTCTGGGCCCCCTTGGTGCTGCAGTCAAGAGACTGAATTCCAAAAGCCTTCAGCAGAGGTCTCCCTTCCTCCAGAAGTCATCTTTAGAGGAATGCTTATCACATATGCTTATTTTCTTATTGTCCCTCCTCAACAGTCACCTCAGGTTTAAAGTCCTTCTTATCTTTGTAACCCTGTGACATAAAGCCAGGAACATTTTCCCACAGTCCACCCTAGCATAAAACATAACAGAATTTCATTCATCAGTTGTTATTGTGTAGAACCAATGAACATATTGGTCATTTGTCTGTATTTAACCTTTATTTGTATTGCTATATTTGAGCATTGCAAGATTGCAGAGCATGAGCGTGTATATTTGTGTGATTCTTTAATTTCAGCTGCCTTAGGTTTGGGTAAAAGATATAAAGAAAGGTAAGTGATTTTCTATCAATTGTAAGACTTTAACCCTTACCTGTCATCACACTTGGTGAAAAGGAGGTACTCGAGTATTGTATTGGTGATTCTGAGCCAGTATCCATATAAACTTAAGTAGGGTAGCTTTACCTGTTACCTGTTATCACAACTCAGCAGCAGTGTAGGGGAAACCATCTGGCAGAATGTCTCCTTGGGGTAGCCTTGTTAGGGACAGAGGCAGTGTCTGACAGGTGGAGTCTGAGAGAGCTGCAAGGTCACAGGAGACAGGGCAACAAACTGTGGCACAGGAACATTCTTTAAGGCAAGGATTTTTCTGTACTCAGTGTTTATTCTGTCCTGAGAGAACAATCCATTCAGTGATTCCAAAATATAAAATTCAAGCTGCAGATGTTCACGTGCCTGGAAGCCGAGGGAAGTTTTAGACACCTGCCCAGTTTCCCTCTCCTTGCCCACTGGGGGACAGCACGACATTCCAGTTTCTCCTGATGCTTTGGCAACGGGGGCCATGATGGAAAGCAGTACTTAAGAGATTTCTCTGTAAGAACACTATTGCCGGAGAGAGAGATCCTTCTGCCTCCTGCTTTGTGTTGCTAACAGATATTAGCATTTTGTATTGCTTTAATGCAACCTAATAGGAAATTATTATTCAAGACAGACTCCTCTAGGAAATGCATACCCAGGAGGCACTGTGTTCCTTGCTGAGAATCCTGAGTGGTTTGTCATTTTATATAAAATCACATCCTTCAAACAGTGTGTGTGTTGGAGCAGCTGAAGAACTGTTCATCCCTCATGAGTAACTGACATTCAGGAAGCCCAGTTCCATCAAGCAGATGTCTGTCTTTAATTGCTAGCTCAGAAGTAGACAGAGCTTCCTGGGACCTGGCTGAAGTAACTGATGGATGAAACTCCTCTTTGGGGACCATTACTAATATTTGCAAATGGGGTCAGAGCCTCATCTATGCAGAGAATGCCACCATATATGGTTTCATGTAATCTGTAATATTTGTTCCAACAGCCTTTAACATGACTATTGTTTGAGGGAAATGGCAACTTTTAATTCCCCTTTGATGCTTCTAGCTTTGTTGAGTATCTTAACACATTACAGTACTAGGTATCTTGGTACCTCTGAGGAAAACGTGTGGACTCTCACCAAAGTCCATTCTGCTCAAGACTGAGCAGTAGCATGTGTGCAGAGCAGCTGCAGAGAATAACTGACTGTCCCCTTTTTCCTCCACAGGGATATCTGCATTACCTCCACCTCCTCCACCTCTACCACCACCAGCAGCTCCCTTGCCTCCTGCGAGCACAGAGGCACCTGCCCAGCTCTCGCCCCAGGCTGAGAATGGCGTGAGCCGAGGGGCCTTGCTCAGCTCCATCCAGAATTTCCAAAAAGGAACTTTGAGGAAAGCTGAAACCTGTGATCACAGTGCTCCTAAGATCGGCTGAAGCTTCCTGTTTACACTTGGAGGGGAAAGTTCTTTTTTATTCCTATTTTATCCCCTACCCCACAAACTACCCTCTTCCTGGGATAATAATTGCTGAGCCAGTACAGCCACAAACAGTACTGTTTTGCAGATGCTCATGTAAGAAGCTTTTCAAGAGGGAACTATTCGTTAAGTAGAATAAAGTTAGGCTGGCATTTCTCCCTGAAGAAATATTTTGCTCCTTTATTAACCCTTTTGTAAAGGAGTCTTGTTTATCCTCTAATGGGCATGCTTTTGGGGCAGCAGCATATTGAAATATTTTCACCAACAAAAGGAAATGGACAGAAAAACAATGACAGTATTCAATCACAGCAGGAAATGGCCTTTGTGTTGCAATCCCTTCTACCCCATCAGACGGAGCTCCTAGAAACATTTCTCTCATAGTTCATTTCTCTAAAGCATTTTCTGATTCTTAGGTAACTCCAATTTTTGCTACCTTTATCTTAGACATTAACACTATAGCCCAAAGCATAGTTACATTGCTGAGTCAGAAAGCAACTGAGTTCTTCGTTTTCCCCTCAAATACAATGGGGAATGTTCATTGTCTTAAGTTCTAACAGGAATACCATTGTGGTTAGAGAACTCAGGTCTGCTAAAGCAAATCCTCTAGACCCATAGTTCTTTTTAGTGAGAATACTGAACCAGACAAAAATATTAACATCAGAAAAAGCTCTTGCCAATTAGAGGATCTTCTTAGTCCTCAGCAATTAAGTCAAGTTTGGGGTTTGAGGGAGGCAGGTCATTATTACAACAGAAGTAAATTTGGCATCTATAGAAATCAATTACGATTTTTGAATAACTTATCTAAATATATCAATATATCATCTTTTTAGTGTTATCATTTATTAGAAAGATCCTTTATCCTGATTTGCTTAAACCTTTAATTGCACTTTAAAGGATTATAAATAATCTATTTAAAAATTCAAGTACACATATCAGTGTTGGTTACTATGCAGAGAATGTCATTGTGTATACCTTCATGTAATCTGTGATAAATGTCAGCTGTATTTTTATTAAAATAAACTATGTCAAGAAAACGTGTCTGTAGCTTGACAAGATATTTCAAATGAGAACTTTTTGTAGCATCTATTGTTAACAAAGAATAGATTCACATTGTCTAAAGTTTCCTTCCTGGCTATCCTGTCCCTATTCTTTTGTGTCTCAGTTTTCTTCTAAGAACAATCCTGTCTTGCTACTTAAATTAGGTACCACCTATATGCTTCTGAAACTAATTTAAACCCATTTTTTCTATCTCAGCTTCTAAAGAGGGTTGTATTTGACAGAATATCTGACTTCTGGCAATGGGAAAAACACCTGATAAAAACTTTGCCATAATTTTAAAGAGAACGCTATTAGAATTAGGCCTTTGAAGAGCCTGTGGATAAGTTCCTGTTCCAAGTGTGATGCAACCTAGCTGATTAGTTCCTAATAGAGGCTTCTGAGGCCTGAGTCCTTCTGAAGTCAGTTTTGCTGTTTTGGATAGTTCAGATATTTGAATACAAACAGTTAATGGTCTTGTACAGTATCAGCTTATTTCCCACATGACAGTAATTTCTTTTGTTATTTTTAAGACAGGGTTTCCCTGTTACCCAGGCTGGATTGCAGTAATGCAATCACAGCTCACTGCAACCTTGACCTCCCAGAACTCTGGCAATCCTACAGGCACACCACCAGATACCTATTTGTTTTTTTTTTTTTTTTGTCAGCAGGGTTTTTGCCATGTTGCCTCAAGTTGGTCTCAAACTCCTGGGCTGAAGCAATTCCTCTTGCCTCAACCATCCAAAGTGCTGGGATTGTAGGCATGAGCCCTTGGTGGCCCTAATTTCTGAACAGAATTTCAAGTTTTTGACCCACATTGATTTTTTTCTGTTTTTTCTTTGTAGAGATGGGATTTCACCACATTGGCCAGGCTGGTCTTGAACTCCTACACTCAAGGAATCCACCTGCATCAGCCTCCCAAAGTGCTAAGATTATACATGTAAGCCACCGCACCAGCCAATTTTTTTTTTTTTTTTTAAGATGGGAGTCTTGCTCCGTCGCCCAGGCTAAAGCACAGTGGTGTCATCTTAGCTCACTGCAAGCTTTGCCTCCGAAGTTCAAGCGATTCACCTGTCACAGCCTCCCAAGCAGCTGGGACTACAGGCGCATCCTACCATGCCCTGCTAATTTCTTGTATTTTTATTAGACACGGGGTTTCACCATGTTCGCCAGGATGGTCTCCATCTCCTGACCTCATGATCCACCCGCCTCAGCCTCCCAAAATGCTAGGACTATAGGCTTGAGCCACCACACCCGGCCAAGCTAATTCTTTTGGTATAAAAATAGAATTAGTCATGGCGTGATGGCTGGCTCATGCCTGTATCTCAGCACTTTGGGAGGCTGAGGCAGCTGGATTACCTGAGGTCAGGAGTTCAAGACCAGCCTGTCCAATATGGTGAAACCCCACTGTACTAAAAATACCAAAATTAGCTGGATGTGGTGGCTAATTTCCCACTTCTGAGGCTGAGGCAGGAGAATTGCTTAAACCTGGGAGGTGGAGGTTGCAGTGAGCCAAGATTGCATCACTGACTCCAGACCCTGTCTCAAAAACAAACAATTAGTCATAGTTAGGAATTCCTTTATTCCTTATCAAAACAAACTAACAGTAAAGTAGATTATATGCTTTAATTTTATACATATGGATATATCTTTCATCCGGACTCTGCCACATCCATACTTTGTCCTTAGAGTGAGAGAGAGTAAAACGTCATACAATTTTATTCAAAGAACATGGCAACTGTAACAGACAAAAGGAAGCATGGCCTCTAGGCCAGGAGAGTGGAGAGTTTTCCATACACAAACACATTTAAACCTCCCTGTACAAAAACACCTGCTGTTGCTTTAGAGATTGTTTTTCTTCATGAGTAGTAAAGTCTTGAATCCAGGTGCAATGCCAGCAAGTATTTCAAATAAACTTCAACGACTTGATATTCAAGTCCAAACTAAATATTTAATGTTTTCTTTATTGCAAATATGATGTCTTTGACCTGAGGTATAGAGTTGTCTTCCAGAATCTTTGCATAAGGCATAGGGACATCAGCACCAGTGACACGAACAGCAGGAGCATCCAGGAAATTGAATGCAGGACCTAGAAGAAGGAAGGCTCAACTGAGAGAGAGTAAATGCCAGCTGGGCACTACCACGTTGGCACAGAGGTGTGGCTGATCAGGAAGAGAAAACATAAGGAATCCTAATTATGGGGAACTGCTTTCTGGATTTGCTTTTAAAGTATTTACCTGAGGAGAAATGCCAAACTTGCAAGTTCAAAGTTCAAGTCATTTGGCCACCCCTAGCTTTCAATCTCTGTATCCTGTACATACATGTATCATGTATTCAGGTACACGATGTTTACTGTGCTTGACTATTCTAGAACCAGTTTCTTTGAAATACCTTCCATGATCCTGGCACAGATTTCAGCTCCTACTCCAAACTGTGGCCAGCCTCCTTCCACAGTTACAAGGTGATTTGTCTTCATGACACTGGCTTCTATGGTTTCCATGTCCATTGGTCTGATGGTACGCATATTTATCACCTAAACAGGTAATATAATCAACTTTACAGAGTGACCGCAGCACAAATAGAACCTTATCCCCATAATACCATTTCCTTTTTTGTTTCCTGTTAATCTTTGGATCTAGGAAAATCTAATCTGCCTGTGAATAGGTACATGAATGTATAAACTGTAAAAGGAAGAATTTTAATTAAAACGAAGATTTGTATGTCTACTACAAGCAGCTCTGTGCAGTTATAGGATTCATTTATCCTCCTTCACTTTATTTTTTTGAGACAGAGTTTTGCTCTTTTTGCCCAGGCTGGAGTGCAGTGGCGTTATCTTGGCTCACTGCCACCTCCACCTTCCGGGTTCAAGCCATTCTCTTGCCTCAGCCTCCCGAATAGCTGGGATTACAGGCATATACCACCACATCTGGCTAATTTTTGTGTTTTTAGTAAAGATGGGGTTTCACCATGTTGGCCAAGTTGGTCAAACTCCTCACCTCAGGTGATCCACCACACCCAGCCAATCCTCCTTCACTTTAAATTCCTTCATCAAAATGAGTAACAGTTAACATCTGAGTGCCTATTATGTACCAACCACTACACTAAGTATAATTCTCACAACTGCCCTATGACAGGACAGTATTTCTACTACAGTGTTTCTTCTGATGAAACAGATTTAGAGTATATAACTTGCCCAAGTATAAAAGTTCCAGAACCTCAGAAGGGTGAGGTGGGAGCACCACTTGAGCCCAGGAGTTCAGGGTTACAGTGAGCCATGATCCAGCTGCTACACTCCAGCCTGGGCAACAAAACAAAACCCTGTCTCTCTCTCTCTCTTGGGGTGTGTATCACTGAGAAGCAGGAGAGGTTCGGAGAGCTCCCAACCCTGTCTCTCAAAAAAAGATCCAGAACCTAAGTGACCTTAGTGGTAAAAAGTATGTGAAATGCAGGCAGGTTCCCAGAAACAGAGACAGAAATGAGTGACAAAGCAAGGTTTTACATCTAATTAACCTATTAGATTAGGTTAACATCTAATTAATCTATTAACCTAAGTCCTATTTCTGGGTCTTAAATCTAAAATGAGCCTTTCTAATTCTTTAAAAACAAGTAAATGTGGGGTGGGGCACAGTGGCTCATGCCTGTAATCCTAGCACTTTGGGAAGCTGAGGTGGGCAGATCATGAGGTCAGGAGTCTGAGACCAGCCTGATGAACATAGTGAAACCCCGTCTCTATTAAAAAGTACAAAAATTAGCCAGCATTCGTGGTGGCGTGTGCCTGTAATCCCAGCTACTCAGGAGGCTGAGGCAGGAGAATCGCTTGAACCTCAAGAGGCGGAGGTTGCAGTAAGCTGAGATCGCGCCACTACACTCCAGGATGGGCGAGAGTCTCAAAAAAAAAAAAAAACAAAAACCACCACCAAATCAAATCAAATCAAATGTCCACTCACCTCACATTCAACTCCCTCTTTAGATAGCACTGCTGCAGCTTCTAAGCAGTGGCCCACAGGTCTCGAATGGGAAACCACAGTTATATGTGTTCCTGAAAACAAAGTGGTCACAGATTAAAGATCGGGTGGAAAATAAACACTACACCACTCTGCAGCCAGCTGTGGCTCTTGTTCATTCATAGTCTTCAACTCAACTTCATTCCAGTGAGCTGAGGAATGTGACAGCCTTCCTAGAAATAAAACACGAACCTCTCAGACTGAAATCTAGAAAAGCACAAATGAATGAGAAATTGGGGCATCACACATTCTTGAGTTCATCCTATAATTTTTCAAAGTAAATGGCAATAACTTCTAGATTAAATTTTACCAAAATTGAGCGGCTGGATTAAAAATACTGTTTAAATATATATCTTAGTTCTCTTACCTTGCCTTTCTATTTTGGCTTTTCCAATAGGAACTAGAAAATCTTTTGACTGCGCTTCCGGAGGAAATTCAAAAGGAACCCCATACATCAATTCATTCTCTAGCACCACCACTGAAAAATATCATAAATATTTAAAAGTAACTAAGCACATCCAGAATGTCTAAAACTGTATACAAAGCAGTATCATTCATCTTGTAAGAAGTTTCACTGTGCTGATTAGCCTTATTTCTACCACCACTGGCAGCCTTGAGGACAGTTTAGGTACTTTGTAATTACAAACTAATTTGTAGTTTGGTCAATATAATTTTATCTATTGAGGTTAAACCAGTGTTGTGGGTGTGCAGTAAATGTCTCCTTTACCTAGCTGGCACCCTTACAGTCAGAAGTAGGAAAATCAAGCCCATTTTTACTATCCTTACTATATAAATTATTAACATTTTATATGATACATCTAAGCCTGACTAACAGCCTTCAATGGTTTCCTCTGTACAAATATATCATTTTAGCTTTTCAATCTTCAAAAGAAACAAAGGGTCCCTGTGCTGACCTGGATTGTTATCCCGAATGGCTGATTTAATAAGTCCTTTAGCATCCTCTGAATTCCAGGGACTGACCACCTTTAAGCCTGGGCAGTGCCCATACCATGCAGCAAAGCACTGTGAGTGCTGGGCAGCTACACCTGCTGAGGCACCATTGGGCCCCCTGAAGACTATAGGCACAGACTGAAGGCCACCGGACATGTAGTAGGTCTTGGCAGCTGAGTTTATAACCTGGTCAATGGCTTGCATGGAGAAATTGAAGGTCATAAATTCACAAATGGGCCGCAACCCAGCCTGTAAAATAAAATATGTGTATGTTAAAAAGACTAGAAATAGCAATAAAAAGTGACAATCTCTCTAAGTCTTCTAACATTCAAATGATGTTTTTTTATTTTTATTTTTTATAGACAGGGTCTGTCACCCAGGCTGGACTGCAGTGGCACAGTCATAGCTCACTGCAGCCTCTAACTCCTAGGGTCAAGTAATCCTCCTGCCTCAGCCTCCCAAGTAGCTGGAACTATAGGCAAGCACCACTACATCTACCTACCTGGTGGTGGTGGTTTTTTTTTTTTTTCCCAAATGATGTTTTTAAAAGGTGATGTTAAATCTCTTTGGGGCTGGGTGCGGTGGCTCACACCTGTAATCCCAGCACTTTGGGAGGCCGAGGCAGGTGGATCACTTGAAGCCAGGAGTTCGAGACCAGCCTGGCCAACATGGTGAAGCCCCAGCTCTACTAAAAACACAAAAATCAGCTGGTCATAGTGGCACAACCTGAAATCCCAGCTAATAGGGAGGCTGAGGCAGGAGAATTGCTTGAACCTGGGAGCTGAGAGGGGCAACAGAGTGAGACTCCTCAAAAAAAGAAAAAAGGAAAAAAGAAAAAAAGAAATCTTTTTGGATGAGCTTCATAAAGAGTACTACATACCATAGCTGCACCTACAGCAATTCCAGCAAAGCCCATCTACAAAGTAAAACATAAACATAAGTGAAAATCCATAAAAATTAGGACAATGAACACTAACAGACATGCCCCTCAAGGGTCAGCTCCCCACTGGATGGCTTACCTCTGATATGGGAGTGTCAATAATCCTCTTGTCTCCATATTTCTTCCATAGCCCTCGACTAACCTACAATTAAGAGTTGATCCCTTAAGTGTATCTGGGGGTAACAGTGACCTCAATTTTGCATAACTTTCATATATTTTAGTTACCTTGTATGCCCCATCATACTGGGCAACTTCTTCTCCAAGGAGAAATACCTTCTCATCTCTTTCCAGCTCCTCATCCATGCCCTGATTTATAGCATCACGAACTGTCACCTGTCACAGGTATGCAAAAACAGTCAAAAAGCTTCAGAATTGTTGAGGACTCAACTAAGATTTTCTTTCTTTCTATTTACCTAGGGTGCCCACAGCATACAATATAAAAACACTAGAACAGGCTTCTCTTTAAAAACTCAAAGAATTCTCACCGGGCGAGGTGGCTCATGCCTGTAATCCCAGCACTTTGGGAGGCCGAGGCGGGCAGATCACGAGGTCAAGAGATCGAGACCATCCTGGCCAACATGGTGAAACCCCGTCTCTACTAAAAGTACAAAAATTAGCTGGGCGTGGTGGTGCGCGCCCACAGGCCCAGCTACTCGGGAGACTGAGGCAGGAGAATTGCTTGAACCCGGGAGGCAGAGGTTGCAATGAGCCGAGATCATGGCACTGCACTCCAGCCTGGCGCCTGGTGACAGAGCAAGACTCTGTCTCAAAAAAAAAAAAACTCAAAGAATTCTAAAAGTAACATTTCTATCCCACATAGTTGGTCTTTGACTGTATGTATTAATGTACTGAGCAGTCACTAGGTGCCAAGCACTGCCACTTTGCATCCAGAATGTAGGAGTTGCTATTTTAATACAAAGAATGGCAAAATCTAGTTAATAAAAAAAGGAAGGAGGGGAGAATTACCATACAATCCATCAATTCCACTTCTACTTATATACCCAAAAGAACTGAAAGCAGGGATTCAAGCACCTACTTGCACATCAATGTTCACAGCGGCATTATTCACTAGACAAAACAAGGCTGGTGCGGTGGCGCACACCTGTAATCCCAGCACTTTGAGAGGCCAAGGTGGGTGGATCACCTGAGGTCAGGAGTTCGAGACCAGCCTGGCCAACATGGTGAAACCCCGTCCCTACTAAAAATATAAAAATCAGCCAGGTATGGTGGTGGGCGCCTGTAATCAGCTACTCAGGAAGCTGAGGTAGAATTGCTTGAACCCAGGAGGTGGAGGTTGCATTGAGCTGAGATCATGCCAATGCACTCCAGCCTGGGCGACAAGAGCAAAACTCCGTCTCAAAAAAAAAAGAAAAACAATAGAAAATATTGGGTTAGACTAGGTGGCTCATGCCTGTAATCCCAGCACTTCGGGAGGCTAAGGCAGGCAGATCACCTGAGGCCAGGAGTTCAAGACCAGTCTGGGCAATATGGTGAAACCCTGTCTCTCAGCTACTCAGCAATCCGAGTCGCAAGAATACCTTGAACCCAGGAGGTGAGGTTGCAGTGACACTCCATCCATCCTGGGTTGCACAGAGAGACTGTATATATATAAATAAACTATAAACTCACACACACACACATACATACATATGCATTATATTCAGCCTTAGGAATCAAACTCTGATGCATTCTACAATGCATCAGATGAACCTTGAGGACATTACGCTGAGATAAGGCAGACACAAAAAACCAAATGATTCCACTTATATGAGGTTCTAAAATAGACAGCCTCATACAGACAGGAAAGTACAATAGGGGTTACCAGAGGTTTGGGGAAGGGAAAGGTTACCATGTAATGGATAGTTTCTGTTTGGGATGATTAAAAAGTTCTGGAAATGGATGGGGGTGATGGTTGTACAACACGGTGAATGCACTTAATGCCACTTAATTACACACTTCTAAAAAGTACATTCTAAGTTAAGTCTATTTTGCTGCAATTTAATGGAAAAAAACATGGAGTGAGGGAGGAAACGCCTAGTCTTAGTTTTCTCCCACTGTCCAGCCAGCTGTGAGGGGGTGACTCGCCGGTGTGATAAGTGTCAGGCGGCGAAAGAGGCAGCAGGAGCTCCACCGAGGGTGCAGGCTCCGCAAACCCAAGGCCCACGGCGCCGGCCGACCGCGGCGCAGGCGCGACTCCGGCCTCCTTCCTGGGAGAAGGGGGCCCCTCCCCGCCCTCGTCCGACGAGAGACCCCGCCTGTTACCTGCAGCGCAGCCGGCGCGGTCCTGTGAAAGCGCCTCTTCAGCAGCCCGGAGACCTGGCAGGGAGAGAAGAAGATGATGAAGGGCCAAAGGGTAGGCAGAGGTCGCCCGGGGATACAGGTTGTGCGCTGCTGCCTACCTGGCGAAGGGGTCTCCGCACCAAGCCAGACACCGCCGCCATCTTGGTCGTGTCCTCTATCCGCTATCAAATGACAACATAGAGAAGCCAATAGACGTGAGCAGGCCCCGCCTCCCCGGCACAGGCCAATGGCAAGGCGCGGCGTCTGCGTGCCCGGCCTACCCGCCCACCGGGTGAGGGGCCGCGGGGCCGGGCCGAAGTGGAGTGTGGATGGCCCTGCCCCACTTCCTGGAGCCGCCTCAAATCAACTTTATTGACAGCGGACGGTGGCCGACACGCGGGTTGCACGCTGGGCACACGTGCCTGGTCGGTGTTACTTGAAGCGTGGGGACTAGAAGTCAGATACTGAGGAGCATGATCTCTGGAAGCTGGAGAGACCTTAAGAGTGAGGCCGACCTGCTGTGGATGCTGGAATCCTTTGGGCACCAAGAAGCGCTTACACACGCTCTAGTGATGGGGAACTTACCACTTCATGAGTGAGCCTAGTCTTCCCTGGACAGTGCTGTCTGTTGATTCCGTATAATGCAGATCATAGCTTTCATTGTTTGCATTAAGCACCTAGTGTGAGCCAAGCATTGTGATATGTGCTGTATAGCTCATTCTCACACTACCCCACTTGGGTAATTAGTGTAGTATTATCTCTGTTTTGAACATGGGTAAATTGAAGCAGAAGTTGATTAAATTAGCCAATATTTTAATTTAGTACTGTCTGACTCCAAAGCATGATCTTTTCCCACTGCTTCCTAAAGCAGAAGTTGGGGTCCTGCTTGGGGGAAGGTTACAACTTTAGAGAAGGCCCTATGGGGAGGTGCCAAACACTTGACGATAGGGACAGCCTCTGGAAGCTCGTTAGTCTTAGTTTGGCCCTTGGGGGTCAGATGGGACAATCGGGGACTCAGTCTCCACCCAACCCCAAGACATTCCAAACATTCCCTTCTGTGGATCACAGCTGCAGGCTGCCAAATTAGGAATTTGCAACTTCCAAATTAGGGTTTTGTGAGCTGTGATGAGGAGTCTGGGTTTAATCTAAGGGCTCTGAGCCCAGTGCAGTAGTGCGTCTAGTGCCATCCCTAGATGATTCGTAGGTTGCTGAGTGGGAATGGGAGTGGGTGAAGGCAAAGGCAGGGAAGGGGAATGCTGGGATGTCTGTGGCAGCGACAGAGATGGACTAGGAGGCAACTTCCAGATGAAGAGGAGAGGGACCATTTTGAGATCTATTTGGGCTAGAATCAATAGGAATGCTGTAAGTAAGTGCAAGGGAAGAGCTGAGGAAGATTTTGGATTTTTGTCGACGTTGTTGGATGGATGGATGGGATGGGGCAAGGGAGGAGCCTGGGGCGGTGCAAGTGGGAGGAGCTGGGGAAGTAAGAGTCAATTTTTTTTTTTTTGAGATGGAGTCTCTCTCTGTTGCCCAGGCAGTGCAGTGGCAACCTTTGCCTCCCAGGTTCAAACTATTCTCCTGCTTTAGCCTCCTGAGTAGCTTGGATCACAGGCACCTGCCACCATGCCCGACTTTTTTTTTTTTTTTATGTAAAGATGGGGTTTTACCATGTTGGTCATGCTGGTCTCCAACTCCCGACCTCAGGCGATCCGCCTGCCTTGGCCTCCAAAGTGCTTGGATTACAGGTGTGAGCTACCATGCCTGGCCTCTATTTTTTTTATTTTTTTATTTTTAGTTTACCATGTTGGCCAGGCTGGTGTTGAACTCTTGACCTTAAGTGATCCACTGGCCTCGCCCTCCCGAAGAGCTGGGACTGCAGGCATGAGCCACTGCAACCAGCCTTTATTCTTTAGATGGCTGGGACATACATACCCAGGTTGGCTGGAGCCTAGGGGTTAGTCAGGGCTAGAGATAGAAATTTGAGGATGGCAGCACAGAGATGACCTTTACTCTCTGGGACTCTGTCTCATTTGTAAAATGGACAGATGGTATTTTCAAGGTATGGAATCAACACCTTCTGAGTCTCCCTTACCTGCCACCATCATCTAGTCCTATCAGTCCCTGCCAGGAAGCCTCAGGAATGCCCAGCACTTCCCAGGCAGCCACAGCATCCCTGAGAAACTCCTGAACTTGAGATGTCAGCCCCCAAAAATTCCTGGGTGGTGCTCAGAACGAAAATGTGAATCAGTCCTTTCTACCTCCCCACCACCTAACACCAAAAGATTTCAGGATCAGATTTACCAAGCAAAAGGAGATGTTATAGGAAAGGAGTCCCGATCCAGATCCCAAGAGAGGGTTTTTAGATGTCACAGAAGAAAGAATTCAGGGCAAGTCTACAGTGCAAAGCAAAAGCGAGTTTATTAAGAAAGTAAAGGAATAAAAGAAAGACTACTCCATAGACAGAGCAGCCTCAAGGGCTGCTGGTTGCCCATTTGTACGGTTATTTCTTGATTATATGTTAAAAAAGGTGTGGATTATTCATGCCTCCCCTTTTTAGACCATATAGAGTAACTTCCTGTTGTTTCCACGGTATTTAAAAACTGTGATGGCACTGGTGGGAGTGTAGCAATGAGGATGACCAGAGGACACTCTCATCGCTCTCTTGGTTTTGGTGGGTTTTGGCTGGCTTCTTTCCTGCAACCTGTTCTATCAGCAAGGTCAGTATGACCTGTATCTTCTGTTGATCTCCTGTCTCATCCTGTGACTGAGAATGCCTTAACTGTCTGGGAACGCAGCCCAGTAGGTCTCAGCCTCATTTTACCCGGCTCCTATTCAAGATGGAGTTGCTCTGGTTCATATGCCTCTGACAGAGACATCAAGTGAAGGAATGATAGCCCAAAGAGAAGCCAGAATCTGGACTGTGGTCCAAACAAAGGACAGTATTCTTGAGCTATATTTAATAGAGAGATCCAGAAAAGCCAGGAACACTGAGTCTGTGTAGCTAGTCTGGCCAGCTCAGTCAGGAAGGCAATGTGAGTCACAGGCCCCAGCTGAGAATGTTCTTTTCAAATAATGACTGAGGACATTTAGAAGTATCTTCATTAGTACATGTGCCTTCCTTTCAAACTCCAACTGGTCAGTTTGGATAGGGTGGGTGGAATTTTCTGTATAAAAATTGTTAAAGAAGAAAGTCAAACTCTGTAAAATATTTAAAGAAGTTTATTCTGAGCCTCATAGTTTAGTGACCTTGGCCCATGACACAGCCTCAGGAGGTCCTGAGAACATGGGTTCAAGGTAGGTGGGTTACAGTTTGGTTTTATACATCTTAGGGAGACAGACATTACAGGCAAAGACATAAATCAACACATGTAAGGTATACATTGGTTGAGCCAGGAAAGTGGGACCTCTCCAAGTACGGGATCGGATACTTCCAGGCTATACATGGATGCAGAGATTTTCTGATTGGCAGTTGGTTGAGTTAAGCTTTGCCTGAAGAGTTTAAGTCACCCTAAAGAATAAGAGGGGTTATGGAAGCCAAGGTTTTTATTACATAGATGAAACTTCTGAGTAGCAGACTTCAGAGTAAATAAATGGTAAATGTCTTTTATCAGACCTTAAAAGGTGTCAGATTTTTTTTTTCTTCAGATGGAGTCTTGCTCTGTTGCCAGGCTGGAGTGCAATGGTGCAATCTGGGCTCACTGCAACCTCCACCCTCCAGGTTCGAGTGATTCTCCTGCCTCCGCCTCCCGAGCAGCTGAGATTACAGGTGCCTGCCACCACACGTGGCTAATTTTTTGTATTTTTAGTAGAAATGGAGTTTCACTATGTTGGCCATGCTGGTTTCAAACTCCTGAACTCGTGATCTGCCCGCCTCAGCCTCTGGCAAGTGCTGGCATTATAGGCGTGAGCCACCATGCCCGGCCACAGACTCTTAAATTTCTCCTGGATCAGGGAAAGACCTGGAAAAGGAAGGGGATTCTCTGCAGAATGAAAATTTCCACAAGACATGGCTTTGCAGGGACATTCCAAATATGTCAAAGAAATATATTTTAGGGTAAAATACTTGTATTTCCTTTAGACCCTGTTTCTGTCCTGTGATGCTATAGCAGTGTCAAGTTTGACTTTGGTATCTTATTGCTATAAAGAGTCTGTTTTGTCAGTCTTAAGATCTCTATTTTAATGTTAATGCTGGTCAGTTGCACCTAAACTCCAAAGGGAGGAGAGTATACTGAGGCTTATCTGATCTCCTTTCCCATCAAGTGGCCTGAACTTGTTTTTTAGGTTGTCTTGGGGATCCCCTTGGCCAAGGAGGTGAGAGTCCATTCAGTTGATTGAGGTGGGGGTGCTTAGAATTTTATTTTTAGTTTACAGAGTAAAAAACACAAAAGGTCAAAGTGGTGAATCTTAAATCCATAATATTTTCAAAATGACTGTATATTTCTATATTCAATAGATTTTCCTAAAAGAGATTTCCAGGTGTAAACTGGCCAACTAGGCTTCCCTCAGAACTAAATCTTTGCAGGATTACAGGGAATATTTTTACTTAAGAACACTTTGGATTCTTTGTCAGTTGTCAGAAAGTCCTTCATTCAAGGTTTTGGGCTGGGTGCGGTGACTCCTGCCTGTAATCCCAGCACTTTGGGAGGCCAAGGCAGGAGGATGGCTTGAGGCCAGGAGTTCGAGACCAGCCTGGGCAACAGAGAGCTAGTCTCTATTAAAAACAAGATCTTATGTGTACCTTTACCCAATTATATAGCCATAGTTGTCGAAACCAAAAGTAATTGACATTGGTACAACTATACTATTAACTCCAGGAGAGACTTTATTCAGATTTCATCAGTTTGTGTGTATGTGTGTGTGTGTGTGTGTGTAGTACTATAGAGTTTTATCACATTTACATTTTCATGTAGCTACCACTGCAATCAGGATATGGAATTGTCCCTTGTCACAAAGAAACTTCCTTGTTACCTCACAGTCACATCTTCCCCAACTCCTAACTCCTCAGTACCACTGATCTGTTCTCAAGTACTATACTTCATTATTTCAAGAACATTATATAAATAGAATCATACAATATGTAACTCTTTCAGATTGCCTCTTATCATCAGCTGAGTGCCCTTGAGATCCATTTAAATTGTGTATCAAATTTTTTTCCTTTCTTTTTTTTGTGAGACAGAGTTTTGCTCTGTCGGCCAGGCTGGAGTGCAGTAGCACCATTTGGCTCACTGTAATCTCTGCCTCCCAGGTTCAGGCAATTCTCCTGCCTCAGCCTCCCGAGTAGGTAGGACTACAGCCAAGGGCCACCATGCCTGGCTAATTTTTGTATTTTTAATAGAGATGAGGTTTCACCATGTTGGCCAGGCTGGTCTCGAACTCCTGACCTCAAGTGATCCACCCACCTTGGCCTCCCAAAGTTGTGGGATTACAAACATGAGCCACCGGGTCTGGCCAGATTTTGTTCCTTTATATTGCTAAATAGTTGTGTGACTGTATCAGTTTACCCTTTCACCCATTGAAGGACATTTGGGCTGTCTCCAGTTTCAGCTTTTATCAATAAAGCTGTTATCAACATTGGTTGTAGGAAAACAGCCTGCT